AAGGTAGTTTAACGGCGATAAAATATCTTTTTGCATTTTAAGGAGGCTTATTTTTTATCTTGCTTATAAAGTTATTTATAAGGAAGTTTTAAATTAAAGTTAAGAGTTATTTAATTAAGAGATTTTAATAATTAAAAGTTTATTAAAGCTATTAGGTTAGTAAATATTATAGCTTAATAAATATAAAGCTTATTAATAATTATTTAAAGCATTATTAATAATGTTTAATATTATAGGCTAGCCTTGGGTTGTTTGCCGTAAGGTGTTTAAATGGGGTTTATATTTAAAGTACAAAGGAAAAGATTTACTCCTTATTTATATCTATATTAAAGCCTATTCTTATAGGGCTAAAGCCTATTAATTAATTACAATAAGCAAAGCCTAAACTATAATATATCCTCCTTTTTTAAGTTTTTATGACGGGCCTTAAAGAGCAGCTATATAATAAAAAATAAAGGATATTATAATTTAATTATAAATTAAATATTGCTCTTTGCTTAGTTATTTAATTATATCTTAATGCCTTTTAATTATATTAAAGGTTTAGCTTATTATTTATAATTAATATACCTTAGCTTTTATAATTTAATATATTAATTAAAGTAAGCTAATAAAAAATAATTATTTAAGCATAAGTTAATAGCTAAATTAATAGCATTCCTATAATCCTTTAATGCAAGCTTTTTATATAAGCTTTTTTACCTAAAATCTTAAAATTATAGATTTATTATATAATTTATAATTAATTAGCGCTTAATTATAGGTAATTTGCTTTATTAATGGGAATTTCTTAAATTTTAAGCATTTTTATAAGGCTAAATTAGCTAATATATAATTGGTTTGCTTTAAGTTTAGGTTAATACTAAGCCGGCATTACTTTTAAGCCTTATTTTATAAAAAAAATTTTATACTTCTTTAAATAAACTCCTTTTCTTTATTAGCCTTAGTTAATAAAAGCTATATTTTTATTTTCTTATAATAATTAAAATAATTATGCTTATAATAGCTAAATTAGCTATATATAAAATATTTAACTTTGCTTATTAAGATTATTATAATATTAATATTTATTACTTTGCCATTTTAAGATTAAATATTATCTTCCCTTATTATGGCGCTAAAAATGCTCTTATATTGCCATAAGGTAAAGTAAAAGGCCTTAAATATATTTAGCTACTTTTTATAATTAAGCTAAGCTTTTATTATAAAGGTTAAGCTATTAATTATTAATAATATTTTATATTTATTTAGCTAACTTTAAGCCTTTATTATATAAGCTAATTAATTAAATTAAATAAGAAATTTTATTATTTCTTTTTTATAATATTATTATAATATAATTAAGTTAAGCTTAATATACCTTTACTTAAAAGGGTCCCTAAGCGCAAGGCAAACCTTTTTTAAAAAGCTTTTTAACTACCCCTTAAATATTTTTATAAAATTAATATAAAGTAAAAATTAATTATAAAAAGTTCTTAATTAATTAAATATATAAAAGAATTAAGCTTTTTTAACGTTAATTACCTCCTTATTTATTATAAACTTAGCTCTTATCTTTATTAGCTAAGTTGCTAAGTATTCTTAAGATAAAAGTTTTTTTAAATAAAAAAGGGTTTAATAAGCTGCCATTATTCTTTTTAAGTTTTGCTATATTAAATTTTATATAATTGCATTATAAGTTTATAATATAAGAGGATTTTAAATATATATTATAAGTTAGCCTTGGGTTATTTATTATAAAGTATTTAAATAGGGTTTATATTTAAAGTATAAAGGAAAAGGTTTACTTTTCATTTATATTCACGCTAAAGCTTATTCTTATAAGGCTAAAGCCCACTGATTAATCATAATGGGTAAAGCTTAAACCGTAATATTTAAGGCCTTTAATTAATTAAGTTAAGGTTAATAAAATTATTAAATTAATTATATGTTAAGGAAATGTAATTATTTAAATAATTATAAGTAATTAATATTAAATTAATAATTAAATCTTAGCGTAAAAGTAATAAAAAGTTAAATTAAGTTAACGTGGTTTACCAGGAAGTAGCGGATATTAGGAAGTAGCGGATTTTTACAACTTTAGCCAACTTTAGCCAGCCATAGCACCTACTTAATGCAAAAAGATTTATAAGATTTAGCATTAATTAATGCTAATTGCAATTAAACCCTTATTTTTAATTAATTTTATTAATTTAAAGGCATTAACGTAATTATAATATTAATTTAAACTAATTAACTTTTAATAAGAAATATGCATTTAGCATTATTTAATACTAATTATATCCTTAAAAAGTTAGTTTGCTATAAATTATTAATATTTATATATTTATATTAATTAATGCTAATTAAGCTAAATTTACTATAATATAGTTAAAATTTAATTAAATAAACCTTTCTTTATTTTTTTTATAAGTTCTTGCATTATACTTAGTTTTATTATAATTACTATATTATCTTTTAATTAATTTATTATAAATTAACTCCTTAGCATTACTATTAATTTTATTAATTAATTGCTTTTCCTTTTATTTATTTTAAATAAAAGCATAAAATTCCTTAATAATAAATGCTTCTTTAAGCTATACTTAAGTTCTTTTAGCCCTTTAAAATTTTATAAGCATTATATTAATCTTTTAAAGTATATAAATTTGCTTGCTTATTATAATAAGTAAGTGCGTTATTATTTATGCATTCTTTGCTAATTAATTAATGGCATTTATAATTAATATAAGGAAGCTTTTTTAATAAGCAAAGATCCTATTTTTAATAAAATTTAATTATTAAATAATTTATTAAGCATTTAATAATATTTAAAACTTTTATTTTTAAGGGGAAATAAGGAGGAATTATATAAGAGTTTATAAGCAGATATTAAACTTAGAAATTATAAAATTAAAATCCTAAGAGGAAATTTTAGCTTCTTTAAATATAAACTTAATATTTTTTATTATAAAAGTCTTATTATAAGTTATCTTAAATGTAAAAAAAAACTTAAATTTAATAATATAATTAATAAAGGCTTAAATAAAAAAATTAATTTAATTATTATATATATATTTTAAAAGTAAATATAATGCAATATTTAATAGCTAAAGTAAATAAAATAAATATAATAATATATTAATAATAATAATTTTATTATTTTTATAATATTAATTAAATTTAGCTAATATATAGCTTTTATAATTATTTATAATTAATATTTAATAATTAATATCTTTCTTTAATTTAATATATTTATTAAAATATTAAATTTATTTTAAATTAATTTTATTATTTATTTATTTATTAAAAGTAAGCTTAATAACTTAATTATTTAAAAAACCTAACTTTATTATTTAGCTAATAAAGTAATAAGCACCTTAAATAATTATAAATAATAAAATTTATAATTTACTTATATTAATGCATTTAATAATAATTACCTATTCTTAATTATTAAGTTAAATTAATTTAACCTTTTTATATTTATTAATGCATATAATAATTATTAATATAGTAATTATGCTTATTATAAAGCTAATCTTATTAAAGTTATAAAGGTTATTATTAATAATTTAATACTTAGTTATTATATTATAAAGTAATTTAAATTAATTCCTAATAATCTTTAAATCTTTATAAAAAGCTTTTTAATAATTATAAAGATAATTAAACTTAGTTTTAAGGCTAAGTTATTAATTTATAAAGCATTAAGTTTAATGCTTATTAATAAATTTAGCATTTTATAATGCTAATAAAAGGTTAGCTATATCTTTTATATTAAAAAGTTATAGGGGAAATCCTTAAATATTTTAATTAATAATATATTAAATAAATATTTACTTTTTAATTTAGTTAAGTTTATGCTTATTAATATATAATTCTTTATATAAGCGTTATTAATTTATTTTATAGCATAATATGGTTTTAAGGATATTAAAAATGCTAGCAACTTAAGTTATAGGTATAAATTTTGCATTATTTTTCTTTAAGTTTTTAATTATTTATATAGCTAAAAGGATTTTATTTTCTTTAAATAAAGAATATATTAATAATTATTAATTTTTAATATGTTAAATATTTAATTAAGCGGATTAAAGCAAGATTAACGCAAAAAATTAAGATGCGATTTGCATTAAAATAAATCCTCCTTATTAAAAGTTAATTATTTTAAACTTAAATGTAATTATATTAATTCCTTTAAATTAATTAAATTAATTAAAAATAAGGTTATTAAAATAATTAGCACTAATTAATGTTAAATTTAATTAAATTATTTGCATTAAATGGGTGTTACGGCTAGCTAAAGTTGGTTAAAGTTGCAAAAATCCGCCACTTCCTAATATTTGCTACTTCCTAATAAACTACGTTATAGCTATTATATAATGAAATATATAAGGGCTTTTAAAACTAAATTAAGAAACTAAATGGAGTTGTTAATAGCCAATTTAATTAAAGTATCTCATAAAGTGTATATATATATTAAGAGAAGCTAATGCTAGGCGGGCTACGAAAGGTATGGTATATTAGAAGAGAGGGGAGTGCTTAGTTATCCCCCAACATGCCCCTCTTGCGTTCCTGTACTCATCAGCCTCCAAAGTCATCCCTCCTATTTAGCTGCCCCTGGATCTGGATGAGATGTACCATCAGAATGCGCATGGGCTAGAGTGAGGGAGGGGTAAAGCTGAAGTGCATTACAATGAACTTGGTACGCCTTGGTTAAACTGGCCCCAAAATATAAAAGCCTGCCTCCAAGTACCAGGTTTTAGGGAGGCGGCCAGCCGCCCGGATCCTAGGCCAGTCAAAAATTTAGTTATACAACCCATGGGCGGGCTTTGGTTTAATAAATTTCTTTATTGGAGTGAATGCTTGTGAGTGCTTGTGAATGCAGTCACCCTTGGCATCTTAGTTTTAATGTGAGAACTTGATTGGACCCCTGGCAGGAAGACGTCACAACTGTTATGAATATTCATAGATCCAAACGAAAACTCTATATTCCGTGTTATTTCCCTGACACCTTACTGCCTTACTTCAGCATACTTCAACAACTCTTCGTCCTTTAATAACCGGTCCGCACTACCCGCCTCCAGGCACACGCAGACCTCCAGACCCTCATCCTGTGCAGCGCCCTTGACGCCAGATCTCTGGGGGAACATGAACACGTAGCCCTCGAAGCTGGGATTCGGCCATCTCAACGCCACCGGCAGGCCAAACCCAAAGTCATGCTTCTGGTACGCCTCCATCCCCTGCCAGCTCGTGCCTGCCAGGTCGAGCCCCAGGAAGTTGTTCATGTTGACGGTTATCCAGCGCCTGTCGCGCAGGCCTGCGACCCACTCGGGCATCTCCGCGGTATACTGCGGCGTTATCTCCTTGATGCCCTGACGCACCAGAGGAGCCAGCCGGCGCAGGTCGGCCTCGATGAGGTCGCCCACGGGCAAGGGCCCCGCGCGGGGAAGGGCGCATCCGTTGCCTAGGTAGCGTGATGGCAGTGGCGGGTCAAGCCTGGAGCGAGCGTTGGCAGGGTGTACAATGCTACTTTTATCGTCCATGGATGGCTTGAGCAGGGGGATCTTGGCGCGCGTCATGGTCTTCCAGAAGACAGCCATGACGGCGTCGTAGGTCGAGATCCACGACTGAGCCTCGATGTCGCCGTCTCCCGGGCTCCGCACTGGTGAGGCATCCGCCTTGAGCTGCTCGAGGCTTGCCGGACTCAAATGCCATGTGCGGCTGACGATGGGTGGCACTACAAAGTCCGCAGGAGGGGGAGGAGTTGGTCCGCCCACGTCCTTGAGCGTGGTGAACTTTCCGTCGAGTTGCTTCCACCGCTCGGCGCTGGGCGGTTGAGGCGCGCTGAGGCGTGAGCGGTCGCGGTTGGAATCGTCGATGGGCCTGAAAGGGGAACCGTTCTTGGCCGCGGTCGAGTTCTCCGCCCACGTGGTGAGGAATCCATCGCAGCCGGGGGCGTCGGTAATGCTGTGGTGCATCGCCAGGCCGAGGATGAAGCCCCCCCTGATGAATGTGATTTGGAAAGTAGCGACCAGTAATCCGTCGTTGGCGTCCTGTCCTACAGGCGAGAATATCATCTTCTCCGTGACCACCTTGGGCAGGAGTTTCTCCGGGAGGAGCTCCGAGGCTGGGAAGTGCCTCTCTGCGAGTTCTTGGAAGGATGGATGCTGCGCTTCGCCTCCGTCCCGGTCGAGGTGCTCTACAAAAAGGCTCACGGTATCAGTACGCTTTGTCACAACCCCTGTTCGAATCGCTGTTAGTGACTCATACATCTTAAGTGCCAAAATATCGTGAAACATACATAAGCGGCCATTGCCCTCGTCCATGTGCAGAGAGCCGTTGACGACGGGGTATTGTGTCAAGGCAAACTCGAGGCCTTTTCTGAAGGTTGCAACAATGTCTTCCTTGTCGGCTCCCTCTGGAAGCTCAAACACTTCGACTATTGGAACGAATATCTTTGGCATAGTGTGGTCCATGTCGGATAGCTCAAACTTCTGCTCCTGCGGAACCTCGCGCCAGTTGGCGCGTCGTACGCGGATCTCTTGTCCAGCAGCCGCCATGTTGCACAATTAACCATACGACAATTTTTGGACACGAAGGAGAAGGGTCGCGATGGGGAAGTTTGAGTCACTACCAGACTTCTCGGTTCAACCTGAGCAGAGTAGCGATCGTACATATGTTATACAAAGCTTGTGCTTACACCCTTCGATAACTACTCCGTGCGAGTTCCGCCAATGATCGGCGTCTCCTGACCCCTGAGCATGCAGCGCCGCAGGAGACCCACATGTGGGTAAAAAAGTCGAGGCGATCCGTACGAAGTTCCAAAGTTGCTGGATGTCAGGAGTCATGACAACGAAGGATTTTAGTTGTACCTTCCTGTACCAGATATGTTTGGATTATATTGAACATCCTGGATAAGGTCCCATGTGTCATTTCGGCAAACGGAGTGAGCTTGACACCCCCTTTCAGCAATGCATTGAGACAGGACTCATGAACAACCTGGCCGTTGGTTAATTCCATCTTTCCAGGCAGAGATGCATCGCAACTAGACTTCTGCGCATCAGTCTCGCCGTTGGTTCTTGCTATCCCTACCAGCCGTCCATCCGACCCGCTTGCTCCCAAACATCGTACCGCAGCTTTCTTTTGCTGACTATGAGGTACCCGCATTGTTGCAATTGACATCGTGGCATTTCAATTTCCCCCAGAATATGGGCCTGACCTGTCCCTCATTAAGTAGTCTATATTAAAGCTATCCTTGAGCTGTCTCGAAGCCGCCCCTCCTAAGAGGCCGAACCGTACGTGATTGTAACCTGGCGTGTCCTACGAATGCCATCTCCGTAAGCTTGGTGCTGCTGATCATCTCCTAAATATCCTTGTCGCTGTCGTTGTCCGAGCTGTGGTCTGTGTTCTCGGCGCCCGAGGGAGTGGGCGAGAAGGCGGTCACCTTTGTAGTCACGTTCATCATCCCCTTGGCCTTTGTCCCATTGGTTGTTCCCAAAGTCTCCATGCCGAAGCTCGCCCCGTCAGGCCCGTCATCAAATGATCGCAGTGTCTGCTTCTTGGATGTTCCCCTACCATAGCGGCTGCCGTCAAACTGATCTCCCGTTCCGTACTTGTAGGCCGATGATTGCATCTTCAATGCCTTTTGCCACAGAGGCCGGAGCGTTGGCACTGAAATACAGATAACGGTAACCATGAGCTCGCTGGAGGTATACATCACTGAGTCGGCCGTGGCGTCTAGATCAAGAGATTATCGTGTCAGTCGTTTTGTTGGACAGTAGCAAGCTGGTCAAAAATCAGGGAGGACATCGGATCTTTCGAGTCTTACATAAATAATCAGCAGAGTTGGCCAGCACTCCTAGGCCAGTAGTCCTGATGACGCCGCAGATGCCAGCAAAGATGCCCAAACTGAGCGACAGACAGACAGTGATCTTCTCCCTCCTCTTCATGTTGAGCTCCCACAACACGAACCAAGGGAAGACGGCCAGGAAAAAGTCCATGGCAGCGCTCCAGCTGCATGTGACGTAGGCCACATTGGTGAGACTGATGGGGCATGATTGTATCGCAACCGTGTGGTCCCACAGCGCCTGCGTTGGCGTACACTGTGCGAATACGCTAATACCCAGCATGAGGGCAAGAAAGCCGTTGCTTATCATCCACGCCCAGAGAATCATTTTTTGCCTATTAAGAACATCGGAGTCAGTCATGCGGACCATCGCAACCACGTGGCGAAAAAGCTGCCGAAGATGCTATGAACCAAAAGCACTGACCAAGTCGCCGTGAGAATTCTCAATAAGAACAAGGCTCCGGCTGCTTTGCTTGTGCCCATGGTTATGGATACGGCTAGCTGTCCGACAAGTTCCCAAAATGTCGCCATTGATTTTTCATAGGCGCCTAGGTCGGCGTTATGCTGGCCAAATCCATAAGAACACGAGACTGTGAATGTGACGGCGAATGCTACTTGAAAGATCTGCGTGTTTGATCAGTCTTGATGGATTAAATGGAGAGAAGTCTGTCTGCGCAGCGTCCAGACGTCGAGCGACGTGGTAACAAATACGTACCCAGGTCACCCAAAGCACATAATCATCAGCCCCGACCTTTCCCTTGATGAAGCGTCTGGTATACCATCTCAAAACGATGCAAGTCAGCGTCACCGCTGTCTGAGCCCAGAGACACGCGAGCACCGATGGACCCTTCCCGCCTAGAGGCATATTGGACAGGCGGTGACGAGGACTTGTTTTGGCGCCAATGGCAGCTCGGAGGGAACAACGAAGCGTTTGAGAGAATCAGGGAAGAAACGAATGTCAAAGATAAAGCAACCAATGAGCCAGTGCTTGGACGCAGACCGAATGCATATGATTATGGCGTCTGTTTTCGTCACAAAACCTGGTATGGATTTCTGTCATCAGAGGAAAAGGGCTATATCAACCGGGTGGGTGTGTTCTCGTTACTCAGCGGGAAGGGAAAGACGGCATCGCAGGCCCGAGGAACATAGGTACATGAATGTGGGGCCTCATTTCTTCCACAGCAATAATACTGCTACACGGTGATATTGCCAACAGTTTCAGTCATGTGTGTAGGGACCGCCTAGAGCTCTGTACAAGCATATACGCGGATTAGAATCGAAACGGCTCCTTGCGAGAACGCTTTCAGCGCTGAACCGGACTTTGTGTAACTCAGGGATCTTCCTCTGACCACATTCTAGCGGCGGTGTGCCATTCTCGGAACCGAATCCTCCCAAGGTTCTTCACAATGGCTTTTGGGTCCTTGCGAAATTTGACTTCTCACCGTGACGCTGAAAAAAAGGTGGTAGAGAAGGGGGTGCCACAGTGCTACTGTACATGAAGGCAGGGAGGTAGAAGTGGGTCTGAGCATCCGACCCAGTTTATCCCTACCTCTTTCAGCTGCATACGAGTGTTGTCCGAGTCAGATAGGACACAGTTCGCATGACCCCGAACACTTGAACTCCACATCTTAAACTCTCGAGTCGGTGACGATCTCGGCGTCGTCGACAGAGTACGCGGCGGTCACCAAACCACCTCGAAGCCTTTAATACCTCCGCCATCTGCCTTTCATTGTTATCGTCTCGTCTAATTATATCAACAGCTTACCAGGGGCAAGGGTCTTTGCTTCATAACAACAAGTGGGCTATCATCAAATCCATGTTGTGCAATGTATAACTAGAGCATCCTCGCTAACACGATATGTACCACCTGTAACGGTCGCAGCAGCTGACGGACATAAAGCTGTGTTGCGAGTCACAGTTTCCTATATGAGCTTGATCCAAGACGAAGGAACTGTCATGGAATTGTACCCTTCTGAGGGCGTGTAGCACAGTTCGTAGCTCATTAGCTGAACGTTACACCACCTGCAAGTGCCCGCTAGTTCTTGTGATTAAGATCCCCAACCTCGTGATACAGTTCAGAAAGCCACAAACATAGAGTTGCTCTCCACTAATATAGTCTAAAAAGGTGAACGCAATGGCTTGTGGCTTGGTGGCAACTTGTTTTCATCGCAAATCGTTCGTATCGGACCGACATCGAAAGTAAAGGCAAGGTAGGTCTGAAAGTACTTGTAAATCTTTGATACCGGTATTGATAACTGACATTGGATTTATTCAATTCTAAGGATTATTTACACCTTATAAGAGGTAGGCTGGAATATGTATTATGCTTTTATTATTAACTGAGTACCAGCATCCTCACTAGAAAGAAGTGGAGAACTACAATTGTTTCGGGATGCAACCCACCATTTGGCTCTGTACGCATGTCCACCCCGACGACCTTCGCGGAGCGTTCTCGCCAGTTAGTGGCGTTCCGATATCTGGATACTCAAGTCTTAGAAGCCTAGCACAGGCTTCTTGAATTTGACCAAAGAGAACCTCAGGATTGTCGCACACAAAAGATCGGGCTAGCTCTGGCTGGCGCCGGCGCATCTGCTCTCATCTTGCCTTGTGCGAAATCTCAACATGATCTTGACAGGATCTGGGCTTGAACTGGTATAAAAGATGGCGGTGTTCTCACAAAGTTCATGGAAATTACTTCAGAACCCATCTATCATTCTTCACTCTCACATTTACACTCCCAACATTACAATCTGCATTGATTCCTTGAAAATAAAAGCATCAAGATGCTCTTCAAATCTATCTTTCGGGCCCTAGCCGTCGTGGCCTTGGTCGGAGAGGCAGTAGACGCTCTAAGCCTGCGGAGGCTCAGCCGCGCCAAGGTCCTCAGGCTCCGGAAGAAGGTGCAGAGTTGCAAGCGCGTGCTGCACGTCACCATAATCCACCCCAGACAGCTGGGGGCGGACCCCGACACGGTCAGTATATTTCCCCCGGCATAAGGCTCAGACCAAAGCTCCCCGGTGGACACACCGTGCTGAATGAATCCCTATCCGGGGCCGCTCAGGACATCGAGGCCGACGTCAAGAGCATCATCAGCGACCTGACGACGGACCTGATCCCCGAGACCCAGAACGTCGACCCCTTCACCGATGCCGACGCCGACTTCCCCGGCTTCTGGGACGAGTTCTCGGGGCTGACGGCCGATGTCAATACGCTCCTGACCGACCTGAAGGGCAACGCCAACGCCGCTAACACGGGCTTGGGCCAGGCCATGGGGTTGGCTAATATGTTGAAGACCTTCAACTCTGACTGGAACGTACGTCGCAACCGATTAGCCTGTCACTATCCTTTTTGGGAGAAACCCGTGTCTGTCCCTGCCGCGTCTGGTTCCTAATTCCCAAGCAGACATATGTCCAAGGCGTCGATCGGCAGACTCCTGATTCCGTCAACACTCAGATAGAGTCGACGCTTGATGATACCGATACCGACTTCGAGGCAGCCATCGAGGCACTTTCCGGTGGCTTCTTCTGACTTGGTGCCGGGAAACAATGAAGGGGGTACGTAAGCATGGATACATATGTATACATGCCTATGAGGTATAACTAGATTGCCAAGTGCCTGGAAACATTGAAACAGGACCTTTGTAATATAGTATCTGGCTTTCAACAAGCCATTAGTAGTTGAAGTATGTAGTGAATGCGAGTTTCTTCCCAGCCTGGCAACATTTGAAGGGTACGATGATGCGGCGGGCACACTACTGAGTTATGACATAATAAGACTTTAAAGACTTTAAGGTATAGCTGAGCCGGTTAAAAAAATACTGCTTTAACTTAGATGGACCTTCCACCTCAGCTGTAAGCCGGTAGAACTTTCCTCGTTACAATGGCTAACTTGCAGCGACTTGGCTTACTAATGAGGGAAAACGGAAGGCCCTTGGGTAAACCGTCATCACGGAGCTGACCTTATCCTAATTTGAGTTTCATAAAGACATCCCCGCATCTCTGCTTACGTCCTCGCCAGATAGCCCCTAAACCATCTGGTTTTCTTCTCTCCGAGTTTACACTCACTAGCCTAGCGATCAAAGCAAATGCAAGATGCTGCGAAGGACGGGTCTTCTTGCTGCCCAGGTCCGGACCTCGAGCGGAAAGGTCAAACCAGCTCTTCGAACATGGCCGATGCAGTCCGTGTATCGCAGCCTGGTCGTGAACGTTTCCGCACAGAGGCGTCACATGGCGGACAGCCCAGCAAGGGCACAGAAGGACGCCCAGTCGAAAGGCATGGACTACCACGGCGCCTGCCACTGCGGCGGGATCAAAGTCCATCTGCGGACCCAGAAGACACCATCCGAGCTCGGGGCCAGGGCCTGCCAGTGCAGCTTCTGCAGGCTGCACGGCGGATCGTTCACTTCTGATGCTGCAGGCACCCTCGGCATCGAGACTTCCGGTTCCGTCAGTCGGTATCGCATGGGGACAGGCACGGCGGAGTTTCTTATCTGCACGAACTGCGGCGTTGTTCCTGCAGCAACGTGGAAACGTGACGATGGGAAGTTGCTCAGTGTTGTGCGCGTGCAGTGCCTGGATATACGGGATGAGCTTGAGAAGTACACAAAGAAGTGGAGTCTCGAGCATGAACTGGATAATCCTGAAGTGCGGTTCAGTCGGCGGTCGCGCACTTGGACGCCTACGGCAGTCGAAAAGTGAGGTAGATATACGAGCGACAAGAGAAGGGGATTGGAAAGTGCTCTTGGAGGCTTTGTATCGGAATGCCGATTGCCTTTCTCGCTTCCCAGAGGTGGATCATGTATCTGCTTGGGGTCTTACGCTCTACATCCTATTCATATTGACTTCGAACCTCATGCCCTTCAGCAACTTGAGCTGAAAACAGAATTCAAAGGCTCTCTCGAAGCTCGTGCTCAGAACTGGATGAGGGTGTTGTCGCCCTGTTCAGTTCTCACTTGGGGAGACACGTCCACATAGTGTTCAGCTCCAAGGTATCGAGTACGGATGCTTGAGTTATACAACTGTCATGCGCCCGTCACTTATAAGCTGGCAATTTTGATTGGCTCATTGTCTTAGTACGATCCAGTGCTGAATTTTAGCTCTTGTATCTACTGAAGCAGGTAGGCTAGGGTCTAGATAGAGTCTAGACATGACAGAACAAAACTTCTTGTCTCTGTCCTTATACTTTCTTGGGAGACGTGATGATTGGCTCAGAATAGCAGCACCGTTGGTGGGAGCGGCAGCTGAAGCACCAGTACGCTGTCCTATTGAATAGTAGAACCATTTTCAGCCGAGCACAAATGGACGCACTGGTGTGTGTGGTGACCTGGTATCCTGGTATCGCAAAATCACTCCATGCTGATATGGCCTCAACCATTCTGAATCAGAATGGCGATTTGGGGGCCAACTCAAGTTCTGGGCTGGTCAAAGGATTTGATTAGTCGTTACTTAAGTATAAGTTCTGAAGTGTGCTCAGCTCGTCAAATTAATGTCATGCTCTTGGACGGCAGTGGAAACTATGCACCCACGACTCGGCAGGCATTTCAGAACAAAATGTCATTTGTAAGCCCTTGGTCCCCATCACTTTGATGCTTTCAAGTTCAGTCTGTGTCGTATGACTCTCGTTCTGTCTTCACATCTGCACTGTAAAATTTAAAGGCTTGGTTTGTGCTGTGCTGTGAACGTTCACGCCATGTCTGACGGCGTCGTCTTGACGGAATTTCCACTATGGGAGGGACATGGGCTTCAAGCGAGACTGCAGGGCTTGGGGAGCCTGGTACGCAACATTCAGAGCGTACAATCCGAGACCCGAGACCGGAGACCAGGAGATTTCTATTACAGATAGGAACGGTTTCAGATTTCCTTGTAAAAGCAATCGTAAATCGACAAATATTCTTTTCAGATGGGACAATGAGCAAAATAGGGTTGTGATATTTTATCAAGCTGGCAACTTCAACGTCGCAGAGACAGCTCAACGAGTGACGAGGGAAAACATGATCCACGCAGTAGTCTAGGATGAAATATTGTAAATGACGCTCCAGAGCAGAGTATATGGGAAAGTCCCACTGAATATATATTTTTTTTTAACATACATGGTCCACAGATTGTTCTCCATGCCAGGAATTTGCCGATGGCCCGCCACGTCGAAACGCGCGAGTATACCATCTACCTCTTCCTTCTCCCTGGTGGATAGCTCAACCAGCTTGCTGTTCTCCAGCACGCGATCGGGCCCTGTGGCTCCTGGAATGGGTACGATGACGCCGCAGTCTCCAGCGTTGGAGTGCTTTCGGATCCAGGCCAGCGCGACCTGGGCGGCGGTGGCACCTTTGGCTTTGGCGAATGCTTGGATCTCGTCAACAAGCTTCAAGTTCTTTTCGAAATGCTTTTGGATGATCGGCGGTTAGCTACCGTTCCCCTTTAAGTATGCAATCACAATTTCCCTCATCAAACGTTCAAAGAAATCACTTCTGCTCACCTCGGGCTGAAAACGACCAAACATGTGACGGATGTCTCCTATTGGAATGTCCTCGAGCTTCTTAATGGCTCCGCTCAAGAAGCCGTAGCCGAGAGGAGCATATGTCAGCAGGGAGACGTTGCGTTCCTTGGCCGCCGCAGCCACACCGTTGCTGAGCATCTCTGTGCTCCACAGCGAGAACTCGATCTCGGCGTACTTGATTGGAGTGACTGCAGATGCGCGTCTGATGGTCTCGGCCCTCACTTCAGACACGCCAACCGCACTGATCTTGCCTGTTAGGGATCCGAATACTAGCCTGGTATTACCTACAGTATATTTAAAGGGGACATGGGTGCCATGAAGACCAAGACTGCTTGCCTTCATCCTGCAGTTCCTCGAGTGCACCGATCGTCTCTTCGACAGGAACATTCTGGTCAATATGAGCGGGATCAAACACGTCAATCTTCTTGACGCCGCCGAGTATCTGGTTGCACTCGTCCCAGCTGGCACGCACGCCGTCACGCGTGCATGTGGGGACAAGGTTGACCGGGTCGAAGCAGGCCCTGATGAACAAGGTGACCTTTGGGGCATCCTCGGGATACTTCTCAAAGTAGCGGCGCAGCAGCGACAAGCCCGCCGTTGGTGGCTCTGGGGGGGGGGGGCATGCCGTAGACCGAGGACGAGGACCAGATTGTGGCTCCGTTGTCGACGGCGGCCTTCATGGTGCTGAACGCCCGCTCGTCAGGGGTCTTGGTAGGTCGCCATGTTAAGCCAAATATGCCAATCCCGGTGTGAGGCTGGTCTGGCGATGTAGTAGGCATCGCTGATGTGAGGGTTTAGTACACTGCAAAGTAGTTTGTGCGGGTCCGAACAAGGGCTACTCACTGTATGGTTCAGTAATGAGCATATACTGTAAAGGGAAATGTGTCGCCGATCTTTGTATATGTCGGCAACATCAATCCAGCGCATGTCGGTGGACTGAATTGGGAAATATAGCCGTGTGTCTGGTTGATACGTACCTCTACCGGTGTTGGTGTTGGTCTTAAGTCCAGCTCGTCCTCCGGGATTCCTTTAACCCCGTGATGACACGCGAGATCTCCCTCTCCTCTTCTCTGTATCGCGTTCTGCATTGGGGCCGAGATAATGTCGACTAGGCTTGGCAAAAGCTTTCGAGTCTGATAATTCTTTCCTATCCACTCGGCTGAGGACTTAAGTTGGTGCAATGCAGCTGGGGGTCGCTGGGAGGCGTGGGAATTTGTGGTTGTTTTGTAGTTCTGCAAGACAATCTTGGCACGATTCCGTAAGATGGATCACGAGAATTCCCACTGCGTGCGTACGCTGCGGCTTTCACTTGGCATGTAATCCTTTTGCATTTTTTTTTGTCCATGGGATGGATGATCGTTGCGATTACTGATGCGTGGTTAATATTGGCTCTTCACGCTCTGGTTAAACCGAGAGTTTGTGATACTTACTAAACGTCCAAGCAAAGTAAACGGTGTCTGCTAGTATTGACCTCAGCTATAGACCATCATCCATTTCGTCAGATGTATGGTTGCCAGCGCTGTCAACCGATGTGAAGTATTCGCACAGGGTGATGAGTACTGGCAGAATACCACACCGAGCCGATACTGACGACCGTCTTGTATGTGCACTGAAACAAGAGCGTGGGCAAGGACAGATAACGCCGCAAAGGGCCTCTGCACTCAACATGCATTATTTCGTAACAGTAAAATATGAATTATTAATACAAGGGTTGTATCTTCCAAGGTTGTTAATTTTTGACCTAGTCTCCTTCACGGCCGAGGCCTGGTATGGCCTCTATTTTGGGACTTGTCTCTTTGCATCGTGAGCCCTTTGTTCCACCACACACGTTATCGCTCGAGGAAACCAGAACATCATCACACGTCATTACGGATGTAGCCAAGCCGCTGCAACTCCCCATACTTGACCCAAGGCCGCTCGAATGCCGGATCAAGCGAATCCCTGACAACCCCGCCGCCGCCCTGTGGTATCTGGTTGCGAGTCCCCATGTCCACAAACGGGTTGGGCCCGTCATGGTAAAGAAACTGCTCCAGGGGGACGTCGGCCCATATGCCGCGCCTAGGCTTGCGCAGAGTGTCGGGCAGGCCGATGGCCACGCGAGGCCGCTGCCCGGCCGGCCGGCCGCGCCACCCGAGCTCGTCGCGCATGCCAGCGACGAGGCCCCGGTAGCTTCCCTCGAGCCAGATCAGGAAGCTGAGCTCCACCGACCGGAGCGTTGGCGGCAGGGCCGCGAGGAGCGAGAGCAGGTCGTCCTGCCGCACGTGGAAGCGTGAGAGCCCGAAGTGGCTGAGGCGCGCCCAGGTGTCGATGGGGAAGATTTCGCGCAGCGGGAGGATGTAATCCTCGTCGGGCGGTTCAATAAGGTCAGTTGTGAGTCTAAAGTGCTCGAGTCCCGGCGCTCCCGCCAGCGTCCGCCGCAGGCAGCCGCTGCGAAAAGCTCGCCAGTCGTTGTTCTCGAGCCCACCGACCGCCAGGGCGAGGTCGAGGCGCCGGAAGTCGGGTTGCTGGAGGGCGGTGGCGAGGTCGCGCTGCTCGGCGCACTCCTCGTCGAAAATGTGGCCGTTGAGGCCGGTGAGGAGCTGGCTGACGTCGATGATAATCTCAGTGATGCCTGTTTTCTGCTGGTGGTCCTGGTCCTCAGCCTGGCTGGCGTTTCTCGAGGCCGCGAGAGTCCGCGTAGCTATGCGGAATGCACGCCATGTGTCCTTCTCGCTCTCCGAGGTTCTCTCCCAGAGCTTCTGCTCGTACTTCTCGACTGGCCATGTGCACGGGATGGGGTAGTTGAAACTGCGTGGAAAGGCCCGGATCATGGGCGTCTCATAGAGCGGCTTGAACAGGAAACCGTGGGCTGCAGGAGTGATGGTGACGCGCCGTAGGGCAGGGAATTGCTGCAGCCCATACTTGAAAGCTGCTTCATCAGCGTCGGTTGCCAAGACCTCCTTTTGCTGGCGGATGAGCTCTTGATAGTATCGCCATGAGCGTTTCCTGAGCGACATGTTGTCGGCCAGCTTTGCGCGGGCAACGTGGTCTGGCTCATACATTTCCGGCCCCTTGTGGCTCTCCATGTCCTCCAGCCTCCGTTTACATCCAAGAAAGAACCAACGCGGGTACTGCTCCTCATCGTCGCTATCCTCGTCGCTGTCCTCATTCTCATACTCATCATCTTCCGGGTACCCCAGCTCATCGTCATCATCAAGCTCATCGATAACGTCAAACCCTCCACTCAAGGTCGGATCAAAGTACGCGCTTTGAGGGTCATAAGATCTTCTCTGGACAAGCCCCTCCTTCAGACGCGCATCATCCCAGATGATCTCAACAACCCTCTCACGGAAGACCTGATGATCAGCCACAGCCCGCAAGACCTCGATGTTGCGCGGGTTCGCCGACAAGAAGACACGGTCCAAACGCAGCGGTGAAACGGCACACAGAGCCTTGCAGGTCAGCCGAAGGCTCTTGATGTCGCGGTTGGTCAAGTATGGTGGGATGGTCGTCGAGATCTCCGGCGGCAGCTGCAAGAGTCTGCTTGGTTCAGAAGCCATGATGTTACGACCATGGGAGTCGAGCACGGTGAGGTGTTGGATTGTGACTTGCAATGGGATTTGTGTTGGTTATGATGTTGGTGGAGCAGGATTCTAGGGCTGGTAAGGGAGAGAGGGGCTGAAATTACAGGGTGTGATAGCATGCGTGCCAACTTTTAGTTGGTTGTTAGTTGGTTTTCGTCCACCAATTTCACCACCCAGATCCTACGTCATGCCCTGACCTTCGTGCCCAGCAATACCACCACTGCTATAACAACTCAACACCATGCATTCGAAAACAAAGACAGTGTTGTCGAAAATACGTTTAAAATGGAAACACGAGTTTTCAGTGGTAATTGGATCCAAAAATGTATAACTTACGACTAATGACGATCTGATGGTAATATTCTTGTCCTTGTCATTTTTGCCTGTCAGCTCATTTGCAAGATTGAGACACGATCAGCTCATGTCTTTTCAGTTTCTGTACATGAATCTGCCAACGATCTAGAATTGTCTTGATGATTGCCCACCACCAAGTCGCAGATGTCTCCGCACAGCACGTAATTTCCTCGAGTAGCAGTTCTCAATTGAACCCTTTCAGGTCACAATTTTATTATGGCCAGATCCACAGATACACTCCTGCCCGGAATACAATACCAGAACCTTCATCATCTCACAAGATTACAAGAACACAAGAAAGACCAAGATTAGAATTCGTTACAATCATCAACGTCGCAGATATACACCCCCTCAAACAGCAGAAGTGATGGTGCCAGGGCCGGCAGTAATAGTAGCAGACACAGACACAGTCCGCTTGGCAGCACCCGCGGTCCCGGTACCGACACACACGTAGTAGCTCGGCCACAGGGCCGAGCAGCTGCTGACGCCCGGGTTCCAGCCGTAGAAGTCGGTGAGCGCGATGCCGTAGCTCGAGGCGATGCCCCAGCACCCGTCGCCGGACTCGACGTCGTAGAACTTGCCGCAGCCGGCGACCATGCCGCTCTGGTACGGCGTGGGCGTCTTGATGCTCATGCCTGTGGACGTGCTGCTGCTGCTGCTGCTGCTCGCCGTCGTGGTGGTGGTGGCGGTGGCGCTGACGCCGACGCACACGTAGTAGCCGTATTCTAGGTCGGCGCACTCTTTTACTGCCGGGTTCCAGGCGTAGAAGTTGTCCAGGGTGATGCTGTTGTTCTGTGCGATGTCGTAGCAGGAGTCGCCTTGTTTGACAAAGTAGAATTTGTCGCAGCTGGACGTGATGCCTGTCTGTATAAAGTAACCCAGGTTAGTCTCATATCTTCAAATGCTGTCATCGGAAGCAGGAATAAAAAGTTCGAGCTCGCAGCTCAGCACGTACTTGAACAGGAGACGGCGTGGCGACGCCACCACCACTGGTGGTTGTCGAGGTCGCAGTCGGAATGGCGGTGTCAGTGTACTGATAGCCCCAGTCATCCGGGTTCTCGCCGTTTGGAAACCAAGAGACACAGTAGTACGCTCCCACGGCCAGCCCGGTACAGTCAGGCCCGATGGAGGGGTTCATCGCATAGAGCTCGCTGACCTTGAGGTCGAACAGGGCCAGGAGGGAGTTGCAGGTCCAGGAGTCGCGCACGTAACTCCACGTGGTGCAGTTTGCGGCCTCGCCTGACGCCCGCGGGCTCGGAGCAGTCACGTTCGCCACAGGCGCTGCATTTCAAAGGTGGCGAGTCAGTCTTGAACGTCTTGAGGACTCCTCATGCGGGAGGTCGCTGAACTAACCTGGAGTAGGGGACGACAGGAGGACGCAGTAGGACACGCTTGACGACAAGGTGCATGGGTAGGCATAATCACTGCTCGCCGTTGCAGTAACGGGTGCCACAGATGATCCGCTGGAATTTTGGTTGAGGGAAGGATTCCAGAGCACGAAATCCTAGAGGACTATAAGTAAGCGGCCGAGCTCAAGCACTGGCTGAAAGTGAAGTTACATACTATTGGAGAGATACCCCAAGTGAAAGCAGTGCCCCAACAATTAGTCGACCTGTTGACCGTGTAGTGGTCGGAGCTGAAGACCTGGTATCTATCAAAGAAGGAGCAAGAAAATGCTGTCAGCAAGCCCCACGATGCTGGCCACGCGGCAAGGGCACTACACATAGGGAGTCATACTTGTAGCAATCGGTACGGGTGCCATTCGCGAGCGGGATGACTGGGTTGGTCGAGTTGTAGTTCGACGTGAGATCCACCCACGGGACTGAGGTACAATTGGTGGGGATGAATGGGTCGGTGGCCGTGGCCGTGGCGCCATAGCCCGGGTATGTGGATATAGAGCCTACCGCCTCGACGCAGTAACAGACATTGGCCTCAAGGTTCGTGCAGTTTTCCCAGACCTCGGAGTTGAGGAAACGGCTGCGAGCAGGCGTGTGTGCCGTCGTTAGCCAAGACCCTGTCAGCAAAGGGAAGTCGTGTCTGTTCAACGTACAAGTCGTCCAACGAGATGGAAAATTTGGTTTCGATCGTTCCGCAGTCCTGCCCTGATTCGACTTCATACCATTCGCCACAGTTGGCGTTGGAGCCGGACAATGTTGGGCTGGGGATTGGTCTATACATGAATGATCAGCGAACATGCTCTACCTCAACATGGAGAGCGAGCCACTCACGCTGCGGTTGTGGGACCGGTCACAACGGGGGACGACGAGCCAGCAGGCAGTGTGTAATTGCCTCCATTGGGGTTGCTTGCGCAGATAGTCCCGCCGTCCAAGGCTGCAAGGTTTCTTTACAGGGAGAACTGTCAATGATCTAGACCTCAGTGACGAGACTGTGGTAGGCTGCCGTCGCCACGGGGTGGGTTTTCTCACGAGCACGCTGAGTTGATATCCGAGTTCCAGGTGATGAGTTGGGCATAGGAAACGTTGTTGGCCCAGGCAATTGAAAGGCAAGTATCACCAGACTGGATAGTGTACAGAAGACAATCGGCGGCAGCGGAGTTGGCTTGGTGGGTAGTGTTGGCATTGGAGGCGGACGAGGCCAACGCCTGGCCAAGCAAGGTTAGGTAAACTGCAACGAGAGAGGCCATGCTGCCGTCAGGTACACACAGTTAGCAAGCATGCTCAACGTTCAGACTCGCGAACTCCCGCCGGGGATGCGCACACATGGGGAACGAGCCGTATTTAATAGGCATTGTGCGTTCCTGACGAGCAGCAAGACGAGCTTGATTGCTTGATGCATCGGCTGGCTGCGGACAGGGATGCCGAGGCAGGGACTGGCGGTGTTTTGGTGGTATCTCCGTCGGTATGATTTGCAACCAACACTACGGCCCAACGTCGCCCCAAAGCTTGTCGAAGCTTGTGTGCTAGTGACCTGTGGCCAAGGGGGCTAAGCTTCCTGTGCCGCAGTTCCTGGCGCCGAGGCTTTTGCCCTTCCATTCCTAGTCGACATCCATCTTCATGATCCTGGTGTTCACCTTTTTCCATGACCAACTGCCAACAGTGCCCCCCTTTTCTTACCGGTTGACCACGTTTAGTCGACCATTGTTTCGATCAGAGTATGTCCCACCACTGCGGTGTGTGAGGGGCCGCATTGCTTAGCGTGCGCGTTCCTGAGTCCAACGTTGTATAGCGCCAACATGTCGCCGCCAACAGTGCCAATGTGTTAGGTCATGTGGCCCGAAAGGCTAAACTTTGCCGCAGCCTTGCCTCGGGGATTGCGATGCAATTTTAGCCGCGGCCACTTGTCTAAAGTTTGAGGGCAGTCGATGCCGAAAATCTCCCACGGATATCCACGTATCACAAGGCAGGTCGACGCGCTTGAACGCGTTTAGCGTATGATCCTCGGGGTATATGCTCTTTAATCAGACGTTCTGTTGGCGCCATACAACGCAATGCATCAGCGGTGATATGTGCCGCCGCCGGCTTGCGTACTCGACCGCGAATTACATACCGTGGTGCGCCGAATCCTTCCATTGTCGGTAATTAAACGGCTTTGATAAACACGGCACAGCAACAGGGGAACCGCTGCGGGATGCCAACCCTAGGGTGATACCACACTCTGGACGAGTGCTACCACGATCCAGTGCACATTTTGTTGGCTTCTCAATTCAACCGACTAGCTGGCCAGGATGTGTCAAGTTGGTGTTGCGGCACGCCGTCAGCCCGTCCTGTCCGGTCCTCCATGTACTTGTATATTGGGTGCCCAGTGCCTCACATCGTCCGGATGTCTTGTAGAAAGTCCTTCTGTTGCAGCACCGGTCCCCTCCTTATTTCTTAGTAGTGTTTCGTTTCCCTGGCGGCGTTCAAGACGCTTTGGTAGACAATGCTGACTTCACTCGTTATTCTTCTTTGCCTAAGCATCCAACATGTGTCCTCCAGCACTCAGCTCGAGGCGCGGCTCGGGTCTGACTTGGGGGTGACGCCCATCGACGCTCTCTTCTCCAGGGCGGTATCTGCATCCGCGGCCGGCGACAGCAGCTATACGTGCGGTCCTGGCAGTCCCTGCTCCAATGGAGCCTGTTGCGGTTCCAGTGGGTGGTGCGGCTACGGCCCTACGTACTGCGGCGACGGCTGCCAGTCTAATTGCGATGCCGTGGCAGAGTGCGGCGAATATGCTGCCACGGCGGGCAAGACCTGCCCCTTGAACGTCTGCTGTTCCCAATACGGCTTCTGTGGGTAGGCATTGTTTCAAAATTTCTGTGCTCCTGTGACCTTTATCTGAGATTATTAACGCCTGGCTTGCTTCTTTCAAAGCACTACCGAGGCCTTCTGCGATGACAAATGTCAGTCTGGCTGTACCTTCTCCGAGCCCAGTTCATCGGGGAGCAACACACAGACCAGAATTATCGGCTACTGGGAGGCCTGGAACTCGCAACATGCCTGCGGAACCATGCCTGCTGGCTCGATTCCCGTCAGCATGCTCACGCACCTGAACGTAGCCTTTGGTTACATTGATCCAAGCTCGTACAAGATCAGTGCCATGGATGGTATCAACTCTGATATCTATCGGAACATTGGCAACGTCAAGGCCCAGAACACCAACTTGAAGATCAGCATCGCCATAGGTGGTTGGACCTTTACTGATCCTGGCGCATATCGGTCCGTCTTCACTACTATGGTTTCGTCACCGTCCCTTAGATCCACCTTTATCAACAATCTTCTTGGATTTCTCGAGGAATACGGCTATGACGGAGTCGGTAAGTGCAACCTTCAACATACCCTGCGCTTGACTAGCAGTATCACTTTGAAAATTTCCTTTCGCTGTGTCGAATTTCCATGAGTAGCACGGGGATTGTCTATTTAGGCAGATATCCCATAGGATTAGTTCGAGTACATTCAATCTGACGTTTTCTAGACTTTGATTGGGAGTATCCTGGTGCCGATGACCGTGGCGGTAACTCCGACGACGGAGTCAACTATATACCCGGCTTTTGAAGGAGCTTCAGGCTGCCATCAGCTCGTCAGGAAAGCAATACATTGTCACGTTCACGGCTCCAACCTCATACTGGTACCTACGCCACTTCGACCTGGCCAACATGGTCCAGTACGTCGACTGGGTCAATCTCATGTCCTATGACCTCCACGGCGTGTGGGACAGCAACGACCCAATCGGCAATCAGGTGTTGGCCCACACCAACCTGACAGAAATTGACGACGCTCTTGACTTGGTAAGTTTGGATGAAGCTACTCTTTTTTTTCTTTCTCCGATCCTAGTTTTCCCCTTCACAATCTCCTCAGGGGATACTCTTCTACCAGTGTAGCCGGGACAGGTTTCGACCCGTCATTATCTGATTATATACAATACTGACTCCGTGGTCTGGGTAGTTCTGGCGCGTCAACGTCGATCCAGCCAAGATTGTGCTCGGCCTCGGCTTCTACGGGCGCTCCTTTGCACTCAGTGATGCATCCTGCTGGCACCCAGGCTGCGCCTTCAGCGGCGCGGGCGCGGCCGGCGCCTGCACCGCCACTCCGGGCATCCTGTCGTACTATGAGATTCAAGACATCCTGTCCTCGACTGGTGCGTCAGCATATCTGGACGAGAAGGCTGCCGTTAAGTACATGGTGTACGGTGGCAACAACTGGATCTCGTATGATGACGCAACCACCTTCAAGCTCAAGATCGACTTTGCCAACAAGAAGGGGCTAGGCGGCTTGATGGTGTGGGCTGTCGATCAAGACGACCCAGAGCTCGACGCGCTCAGGGCCATCTCCGACTCGGCTTACATTGAGTCCAGCTCCAGCTCCCCACCCGTCGATCTTACAAAGATCTTTCCCTCACAGTTGATTCCGTCCAGCAAGGCTTCCAAGTACGGTCTCGTCAACATCGGCTCCGCAGCAAGCAGTGGTGAGACGAATCCTGGGAAAACGGGTATTGGCTTCTTTCTGATCACCAGTGATTCGTATGCAACAACGTCATTGCGGAAGCGTGCTGGCGATCCCGAACCCTTTGCCTTCATCAACTGCCCAATGCATGTCCTGGACCGGCCTGTGGATGAGCCACAGACTGCCAGAGTCATTTGTCTTAACGAAAATGTGGAAGATTGTTTCCGGATCATGGAGAGGGGTGTCGAGGGCACGATGGTAGAAATGCCAGACAATGTATGTCTTACTCCAAACCCACCTTCTCGCGAACATTGGAAAGCGGAGCCCTGACAAATCAATTGTGACAGTGTGCGCCCAACTCTATTGGCAGAGCTATTTCACTGACGCGGGCTCCTGGTGAGAAGGATACATGAACCGCTGGTTACGATTGATGGGTCGGCTGACAGTCCAATGCAGATCAATATGTGCCGGATGACATCCAGAAGCGCAAGCCAACATCTGAGGTCTACGACTTCACCTTCGACTTCAACTTTGACTTGATGCGCCGCGACACCAATCTCACAAGCGTCCGGATGGACTATAGCAACTATGGCGGTTACTGGGACCATATTGTCAACTCGGACGGAATCCAAGATACCTCTTCCAAGTCTCGCAAGCGCTATTTCGCGCCGACCATATTTGACTGGAAAGAAATGTATAAAAATATGAACTTTGAAGATGCCAAGTTCACGAGCGCTCCTCAGAAGGTTTCTGTGGACATGAGCAAAGAGATCTTTTGGGAAACGAAGGACTCGGTACGTGCCACAAGCTATGTTCTATTGTGTTGGACCTGCGTTCTAACCTTTTTTGTTTATAGTGTGATTGGGAGGGCACAGACTATGGTGACGGCATTGGCGCATGGGTACAAGGAGACGTGGATGCCCAGCTGTACTACGGATACACCATTATCGTAAGTCAAGCATCGCGCCGCGTATTGTTTGGCATGCATCTCCTGCAGCATCGACAGACTCACATGGCATCACCAGGGCGAGCGAAATTTGCGGGGTACCATCGACTGGGTCCAAACCGACGGCTTCCTCTCCGCGTCTGGCTCGATAGATCTCAACTTTGGGCTCGGCGGAATGGGAAACTTGGACATCTCGCTCGCGGGGAAGAGTAACCCGGCCATCAACAAAGGCAGCAAGATCAGCCTCGCCGGAAACACCATCACGGCCAGCGGCACGGGCTACAGCATTATTTTCAAGCCATATTACGAGCTGGACTACTCCTTCGCGACGATGAACGGCACCAGTGCCGGGGACTTCACTGTTGCTGATATTGACTATAACGGCCTTATGACAGCTCGCGTGATCTCTGACCTGGGTGAGTTCGTTGCCTACTATCCGGCAGTGGATACGGTCAACTGGGACAGCGATGCTCGAGACAAGAATAAAATCTCCATCGGGTCGAAAGATGTACTTTACAGTGTCAACAGGGGAGGTTTCGCTGCCATTAGCTCATTTCTCAGGCTCGGTGTTGACGCCACCGTTAGTGGCTGCAACGGAGACTTTTGTTTTGTTGGCAGCACGCTGCCTGGGGTGAGTACCACGTCTCTCCATTTCCGAGTAGATCTTCCTTAGCCTGGATTCTTTGCACTTACACGGTCGCTCAACAGATACAAATCACTTACGATAATATGGTTCAATTTGGGTTTCAACCGGGCGACTCCGATGACCTGTCATGTTCCAGTTACCTGGTTGCGTGAGTAGTTGCCTTTATGTTTCTCAGCGACGATCAGCGGCGAGGATATGGGGAGTTGCTACGGCTAATCATCTATCATTGATCAGGACGGACATATACTCTGATTATAATAATTAGTATGTCCCCCACGAGAGCCATGAAGAACCCAACAGTGAAAGAAGAGAGGCTAATATGGAATTTTGCGGTCCACAGTGACCGCGCGAACTGGCCAAGCAAGACTTCACACATCCAGCTGGCGTCCGATATGGTGAGCCCCCCCCCCCTTTTTCCTTGTCTTTATTTATAGAGTCTAAGTGCGTTGCTGACCGGCCCGCCTCGTGTCCCTGCTCCAGCAAGAGCCTTCTAGTGGCAAGGTTTGCTTCACCAACTCGGACGCCTCACAGAAGAGGTCAGAGACCAATGCCTCGGAGAAGGCCCTGGAGGAGCGCGCCAGTGGCAAAGGAAATCCCTGGGGCCTCGGGGCTGGCTCTGTGATGTCGATCGACACCATCATAGCGGACAAGCTCGGCGCTGGGACCCAGAATAACGTCAGGAATCTCTTCCGAACAAGCCTGGACGCCTTACGCTGCCCGAACTGCTTGACCTGCTACAATGGCGAGGAAAACAAGTCCAGCCCCTGCTGCGGCTGCGTTTCCATGAACTGGCTCTACCACCTCACAGACATGCCACCCTGCGACATCTGTGATGATGTCAACTACGACGATAGCGATGTTGAATGGCCAGGGACTGGGATCACTTCCACTAAGCGTGATGCCATTGAGAAGGACGATGAACTTGAACGGCTGAAGGGCGAGGCCAAGTGGTGGCTCGACGAGGACGAGGACCAGGAAGGAAATTTCCTCGTTGAGCGCGAGCCCGGCAAAGCTACCAGATCGTACAAGAAGGTGAACGTCTGCGGCGATACACTCAAGATTGGTCTCAACGGAAGGTATCCCGCCTTCCCAAATCTTCCAAATTGGCCTTGGGATGGCATCGAGGGCAACAAGTTTGCTGATGTGAGCGCATACTGGGGCAACACCTCGGCCGACTGCGCCGACTGGTCTGTCGGGCAGTTGACGACAGCTGATACGGAAAACACACCCGCCGGAAGGTTTCGTACACCATATGACAGTGAGACCAGTTCCCATCTTATGACAATGCCCCCTATTCCTCTTTTAGCGTGGTGCGGCATCGGGATGTCCAAGAGGTTTGCTCACTGACACCCTCTCGTTGCAGCCGAACACGTCTTCGAGGGCCAGCTGATCGGAGACTTCTTCAACCAGTGGCTTCGATTTGGGCAGGTGACAAACCAGATGCCGACCCCATCCAACCCACAGCCAATCGCGGGCTGCGATTGGACCGACAAATACATCAAGGACGCACAGGACGACGTCTGGACCAACTGGGACGGCAACGCCGTTGCGTTCATTGACCTACTTCTGCAGGAGCTCGGCAATTTGCACAACTTGGACCGCTTGACAATTATGCAGAGAAGGCCAAACCAGATGAAAGGAAGAGTGAGTGAGAGGCCTGTGCGGCCCAAGCCTGTGTCGGATGTCTCGCCTATGCTGACTCTTTGACCCCTATAGATGTTCTCGGGCATCTCGCCGTCAGATATGAACAAATATGCGGACATGAGCAACGATGCACAGCTTCAGGTTACCAAGGAGATGGGTATGTCGGCACTTTTCAACCGAAGCAAATTTTCGCGAATGATCATCAGAACCTTCCCCCCCCCCCCCCCTTCCCCCTAATCCTGGTACTCCTTTTCTTTCTCTTGGTGTCAATATTTATCTATCTGTTTTTGTGTGTCTAATTTCCGCCTGGTATTTCAACCACTTTGTCGCCGTCGACTGCAGCAGGTTGCAGGCATGCAACTAGGTAAGAGGCTGACGTGGTCCAAACACACAGGCATGGTCTTCAGCTACTTAAATAACCCAACCGTCTGGTCCAAGTTCTGCGAGTCGTACGAGGGCATCTATAGCCTTATGGCTCAGTTCGACGTGTGGTATGCCGTGAGTGATCTCTCTCCTCGCTCCCTCCTCCGAACCTGATTCAATCCACCTGCCCTCCAGGCAAATGCAGAGCGACGGCATAATCAAAATGTAACAGACAAGGCTCACCACATATTTCTCTCCAGACACAAGCCAGCGCCCCCAAGGGCATTATCATGACGCAAGAGTGGAAGAAATACATCAACGAGGTTCTGAGCTCCATGGCCGCCCGATCCGAGGAGACTTTCTGGGACATGGTCTATTGGGTCACGTAAGTCATTCAGCGCCGCTTCAGAATGGTCCCATTTTCACAAGGTGAAGGGTTGCAGCCACTAATCATGTGTGATTACTCTCTATTCTGAACAGACTCGAGAGCCAAGACGTGCAAAGCGATAACTTCTACGCGGCAAAGTGGCAAACGAACATGGATTTCAACTCGCTACGTCTCAAAGTTACCGGCACCTGCTCGAATCTGTGAAAGCCAAATGCAAAAGCTGCGGGCGCCTTCTGTGGGACATGGGCACGTCCTCGCTAAAACAACCAGACCGACCCCATGGGCCCTACGGTGGAGGGGACACCGCTGCGTGTGAAGCCACTGGCCTTACTTCGAACCCATGATTTTCCCGCGTGTAATAAAACGCTTTGTGAGGAGGCTTGTATGCATGCTGCAAGTGTTGTCATCTAGCGCAATTTGTACATTGTAATCTTTTATGTTACCAAGTCTTCGAATATGGAAAATTTAAATCAATAATTAAAAGCACTTCTAGAAAACAAAAGACCAAGTTTTTGGAACGGTTCCTACAATGATCGGTTTCCATTTTTTCCGTCACATATTCGTTAAAAAAAAATTAAAAATTGAAACGAGCAATGGTGCTTCAGGTGTGGCCAAATGGACTTATCTGTGACCTTCTCGGCGTCAAAGGTGGTGGTGCCCTCACAGCACCCGGGAATGCCTCCGTGATAGTGCTGTCATGAAAGTTGGAAAGGATAAAGACAGTCTCGGCACGTAGATATTTACATCAGAATCTCATTACTACAGGTTGAAGGAGTGCTCACGAGCCAATACCTAGGTATATCGTTGTTGTCCGATTCCACTGCACTGAAAATTCGAAGACGGATCGTTGCTGCGCCTTGCCGTTGAGTTGTGATTTCTGTGCAAACCCAAATGCGAATGGAAACAAACAAAAACAGGGAGCGCTACTCTAATCGACTGTCTGCCAGAAACGAGAGTGTCTTGCTTTTCAAGTTGTCTAACTACCGAATACTAAGACAACCCCAGAAGCCCAATGATGGCCTCTATTCCGAAGACAAAGTTGTCGCAATCTCGGTATATGTCCCGGCATCCTAAGCCCATGCCGCGAGTGTGCCAAGAACCCTCGACCCCGAGCCACGCAAGGATCGACATGCTAGCTGATCATTATTGCAAAGCCCCGGGTCGCAAGGGCAGCTTGAGTCCGCCTGGCATCCTCGTTTGGAATACACCACTTGGGTCGTACTTTTCTGATACCATGATCATCTTCCGAACGTTCTGCTGGCCATAGCTGCCTAGAACATCTTGTGAAGCATCAGCATAGTTGGAGTATCGATAAGCCACGAATGCCCCAACACTCATGCTGTACTCTTCCAGGGCAGCCTTCCATTCAAGTATCTTCTTCCGGCCCACAGCTTCTTGGTCGGCCCCGTCGACAGCAAGCGATCCAAGCAGAACGATGGCGTTATCTTCCAATTTGTCAACACCGAGGATATTGCCTCCTTTTGCTACACCGCGTATACCGATGACTGATGGGAATGGTTGAAAATAACACTGCGTCTCGAAGTTTCCATCGGGCGAGTTCTGCTTCATGTATTCTACGAGTCCATGGTGCATCTCGACGGCCTTTCTGATGACGCGCTCATCATTCTTGAAAGTGAGTGTGAACCAAATATTACTAAATACGCTGGTCAACTCAAAAGCCAATTAAGCATCAAGATATTGCACACGCTTACCTATAATTAGCTGCCTGGGTGGCTAGGGCTGAAGTGGACATGTTGGTAAGACCGACGTTTGAGACGCTATAGCCAGGTATGTCGAGGAACTCCTTCAGAAAAGCCGGCTCAATCTGACCAGCTGTATCAGACAACGCGGAGATTAAAATGGTTCGGTTCTCGGCCGGGCGGTAGGTCCACCAGATAAACGCGGACCCCGTTTCGTACGCATCTTTGTTGTCAGTCCAGCGCTTTAGTGCAACGATGTGTGAATCATCGACAGATGCACTCGCAGGGTATTCCCGATAGCACTCCCATATTGGAACCCTGTCGAAAGTCCTCATGTCGAAACGGGTAACAACACCAAAGCCGCTCCCTCCGCCTTTCAGCACCTGGTAAATATCTTGGTTCTGATGAGCGCTGGCTTCCAAAATCTTCCCGTTGGCCGTGACAATTTCCATCTTTAGAATGTCGTCGGTGGCAAGACCGCGCTTGTATAGATAGGGAGAGAGTCCGCCGCCGAGGAGAAGACCTCCGACGCCGACCGAACCGATGCCGCCTCCTTGTATGCTTGCATCCATGGCGTCGAGCGTCTTGTAAACGTCAATCCATCTCGAACCCGGGCCGAGGGACGCGACTTTGCTGGTCGAGTCATATGAGATGCCATTGAGCAGGCCTGACTATACTATTAGGGGCAAGTTACAATATGCGGATGGTTCTTTTCATACCTAAGTCGATTGTAACACCATCTTCGATGTTGTTGAACCCAGCATTGGACGAGTGTCCACCGCTTCTCACCGCAAATTTACAGTCTGTCTTCTCGACAAGCGTGCTGATCACCGTGGATACCTCTTGTGTGTTCTCTGGTTGCACGAAGCAAGCGGGTTTGAGTTGAGAAGTGACCGACCAGTAAGATTGGACACGCTCGAGGTAAATAGGGTCACTTGGGGACAAGATAGACTGTATACCAGCTTCGTCGAGGGTTCGGCACTATGCAAAGTCAGTTCCCCGACAACTGATCAGCTTGCGGTAGGCACAGCCAGAGCACGCACACAATCATAGGATTTGCCGTAAGGTCCTGCCGGAAGCGCAGACCCAGCAAGCAGAGGAACAGTGCTTGCAAGCCGCAGGAAAGTCTGCATCATGGATTGGACGAGCGAGAGCCAGGTATAACAGAGCAAATGTTCTCGCACTTAATTGAAGGGATGTAAGCCTCTGACTTCTGGGTGCTGTTCCTCGTCGTAGCACATATATATGATCACAAGGGTTTCGCGTTCTTGCTACAATGCGTAGATCCCCCAGGCGGCCAAGGCTCCTCAGGGTAATCGGCCCGTGTGCCGCTCGACCGAGGATCTGCTGTAGGCACGTCAAAAACCGGACTCGACCACACAGCAACGCATAATTGTGTACCATTATATACTACCATCGTGTTAACATTAGGTAAATAGATGCAAAATGACGATTCTTAGTAGTGTTTTCATATTTTCAATGATTACCAGAATGAGTGGAGATATTAACTGTCAGAATTAGCTCAGCGTTGACCTGCCTAGGCATGAAACAAATCGATGTATGAAGAGATTCTGGCGACAGAATATTTCCAACAGAAGCTATCGCACTTACTTACGTGAGCCTTACTCTACATCTCATATAGAATGGTCCTCAACGGCCTCACAAATATAAAATTTGATTTCATATAAAGGTTGAACAAGATGATTGAGAAATCAAAGCAGACCTTGCTGACGGCCTGTCGTGCATCGTAGGGATCAGAACAAGGCAATGCTGATGCTTTGTTGGGCCTGGAAAGCGTGTGATCTCTCGTCCGCGTCTACTTGCGTTACGTCGTTCGAGCAAAGACAGGCCTGAAAAGTTGTTCCGCTTCGTATTGAGATTTCCAGAAATGGGGGCGTTGTGGCACGCCGGTTAATCTTCGGGTGATCGGGTGGAACGTGCACATGTAAGTGCACATGCATACGACAACATGCCAGGAGTGTTCAATTGCTACGCTCATTGGTCAGTCTCTGAGTCGAAGTCCAAAGAGTTGCATGCGGTGCTCAATAGGCTTTCCATTAGCGCGTGCTCCCTGAAAAGGAAATAGTTGAAGCTATTTCCATTCAGGGTAAAGAGGGTCACTCGTGGCAGGGATTGCTCTAGCTGCAGATCAGGCTGCACACCCTGCCAAGCACCCCGCACACGTAAGCAGCTAGCTGGGACTTATACCCTGCTTGGCCTGAGGGCGGGATTGCTGTACTCGAACCCACGCCCTGTGCTTGAGGAAAGGTATCGAAGCACAAACGGAGCCACACCTACGGAGGCCGAATTTTCGTATCCAGATAGACGCAGCGAAAAATCCGAATGGCTGCGCCGGGACTCTGCGACGAGAGTGAGAAAATAGGACGGATAAACCTAGACTGCTTCTGGTGTAAGCTGCAGCCCTACATGAGCTCTACCACCCAGCTCGCGCGGTTGCTTGACTGGTAGTCCAAGCTCCACATCTCATCCGCCGCGGCCTTGTATAAAATCTCAATCAAGATCCCCAAGATATTTTTCGTAATAACCTCTCGCCAACAGTGAAGGGTCAAGTATAACCTGCAAAATTCACAATCCACTTGACGATGGGTATTGTCGCTGTTGCCGGCGGATCTGGGCCCGTGGGTAGGACCATAGTTGATGCACTTGTGGCACACGGTAAACACAAAGTCCTCGTTTTCTCTCGCATTGTAAGTTGAGCCATTGACCCATGAAATTGGGTGCGTCACTGAATAATGACATTCAGGAGCGTCTGCCCGAAGAACAAGTCACCTACATCAATGCCGACTATAATGATGTTCAGGGCACGAGTGATGCATTGGAAGGTGCCGACGTGGATACTGTAATCTGCGCAATAGGCGTGGCGACCCCAGACACCAACAAGGCTCAACTCGATCTCATCAAGGCTGCTCAGCAGTCCAAGACCACTCGTCGGTTTGTGATCAGCAGCTTTGACATGCTACAGCGACAAGAGTAGGTGCGAACAACACAGGCTTGGAGTTGAAACGTGCTGACGAGTTTGCTTGGCTAGGTACATCGACATCAGCCCGCTTGCAAAGTATACATTTGAGGCAATTGATCTGCTCGAGCAGAGCGGACTCGAATACACGCGTATAGCCTGCGGCTGGTTCCTCGATTACTTTGGCATGCCATACTGGAAGACACATCTTCATCCATGGGTCAATGTACTGAACATGGAACGGCGGTGGGCGGCTGTTCCAGGCGACGGTTCGGCCAAGGCCAACTTCGTGACCACTCAAGACATGGCCAAGTTCGTGGCCAACATGATGGACTTGGGGTCGTGGTCCAAAGTGAGCACCATCGTCGGCGACTGCCTCACGATGAACCAGCTGGTAGAGATGGCCGAAGAAGAGCGCGGTAAGTATTCGCACCACGCTGTCCAGTGTGAACACTATGTGGGCTGACAAAACTATCCCAGGCTCCAAATTCAACGTGGCGTATGACAGCCTCGAAAAGCTGAAGGCCGGGAAAATTTCTTTCGCTTCTGAATTCCCGAACATAGATTTTGTGGCCGACTCAGAGGCCTTCTATGCGATGATTCACTACCAGGCTGGTCTCGGCCAGTACGAGGTGCCGACCAACGACACGCTGAATGAGAGGTTTCCTGAGCTGAGTATCACGCACGCGAGAGAGGTCATGAGCGTATGGAGAGGAAGACAGGATTAGTGAATCACATCGGTCATATGGCGCGTTCCAACAAGTGCGGCACAGTGGCACAGGTTCTCAGCCGATCATAGATAATCGTTCATCAGTCAGATCTCTCTCCGAAGCGTTCCCATAACACGCAAGATATAAGCGTAGAGCAGCCACTATGCTCATAGTCGTCAGGCTTTCCAACAATGTCATACTCTTCTAAATCAAGCGCCATACCAACTAGTGACTTTACTGGCTTTGCCCCTCAACTGCCACTACCATTATCAAATATGTAGTCCTTGACTGATATCTTGATATGCCCGTCATTCTTTGAATTGTGTGAAGTACGATGATGCTTCCCTTTGTGCAGAGCCAGAATTCGACCCAAATATCAACAAATGACACAAACTGCACAACCTGACCGATAAGGGCCAGAACTTCTTCATCAAATCCTCTCGAGGCACTTCCCAACAGCCTTGTGGTCGAATGCGTGCGTTGCCAGAAGTGCTGGCCATTTGCCTCTGCCCCTGACCCTTGTCAAAGGCCCCTGGCCCATGTCCAAGATCTGCCGCGAGTGCAGGTGCACGCGAAAGCCCACGGTGGACCTTGAAGCCGTCAACAAGACTTTCACAACGGCAAGGTTGAAATATGATTGCCCAGTGGTCTTCAGTAAGCCTGTCAGCATGTCGTCTTTCTATATGGAACGAGCCAACTATGAAATCTACAACCTACAGGTATGTAGGTCCAAGGAAAGCTCTAAACCAGGTACGCGCCTCACGGAGAATGCAGCCGACGCTCGCGAATCAAGTGGAGAGCTGCCAGACGCGTGAGCCCGGCAGTTGGTGTTTCCCGCGGAAGCAGACCCCAATGTTGTATAGCGGCAGTCCATGCCGGCCTCTGCTCCGTCTCGCGGCGTCCGTCCTAGCCCGGCCAGGTCAATATGCCCGATCCCTGCAACAAATGGGCGACAGCGTATTTGACAGCCTCTGTCGTTGCATTCGTCGTTGCATTGGGATAAGATTCGCACTCGTACTTCAGATATCAGCCCTCGGCCGCGCTCCAGGATTCAGCCGTCCCGCTAAAGCGCGACCCTCGTGGCTTCTGCCAGTCTATGTAAATAAATCCGCCTGTAATTGCCCAGATCGATCCTCTCTGCAAATGGTGTGAAGCCCGGTGCAGCACGAGCACCCCACAACCATGATTCCGGACGACATGCTCTCCATGCGCAGCTTCAAGACCGTCCTGGTTTTGCTGGCGGGCTTCGTGGCCTGGAGGGTAAGCCTCGACGAGCTCTACAATGTACAGTGCAGACTCTGACTTGAGCATACACCAGATCATTTACGCCCTCTTCCTGTCGCCACTGCGTCGAATACCAGGCCCTCTGTTGTCCAAGGTCACCTACAAGTGGCTTCTGTTGGTCGAGCTCGCGGGCAAGAGAACCAGGACGGTAGCGGCCCTCCACGACCAATATGGCCCCGTCGTGCAGCTTTCCCCCGATGAGATCAGCTTCAACGCTATCGACGTCGTGGACCAGATTTACGGTCAGAATACCGACTTTGCCAAGGCACAATGGTATAAGCGCATGACCCGCGGGGGCGTCTTCAACGAAACCGATATTTCCATCCACAGGCACAAGCGCAGGATGCTGAACCACGTCTTTGCGCAGTCCAGCGTCAACGACATGGAGCCCACCATCCGGCACGAGATGCGCAAGCTGCTCGACCGCATCGAGGAGCGACGCCAAAAGGAGCCGATTGATATGCGCCACTGGCTGCGCATGCTAGCTTTCGACGTCTCCACCATGGTCTTCTTCGGTCAGGCCGCGGGCGGCCTTGACAGCCATCAGATTCCGCAGTACGTCAAGGATCTAGACAACGCCTTCTTGATCTGGGACCTGCGGGGCCGCTTCCCAACAATGTCCTGGCTGTTTGCCAAGCTCCCACTGAAGTCGGTCCAATTCTTCTTCCAGTCAGATGACCGCATCTACGAGTACGGCGCAGAGCGGTTCCAGCAATACATTGACAAATACGGCCGGACCTCGCAGCGCAAAGACCTATTGACCAAGCTCATCCGCAAGGAGCCGGGACAAGACGATGGTCTTACTGACGAGCAGATCTCGGGCGAAATCGCCAACCTGACCTTCGCGGCGACCGACACAGCAGCGCTTACCCTGCTCTACCTGTTCTGGGAGCTGGCACAAATGCCCGAGCTCCAGCAGCAGCTTCGAAACGAGCTCAGCGCTGTGCCCATGCACAATGGAATCCCAGAGCACAAGCACCTGTGGAATCTTCCCCTGCTCAATGCAGTCATCAACGAGACCTTGAGGAAGCACTCTCCCGTCGTTATGGGTCTTCTCCGCGAGGTGCCCCCAGGTGGAAGGGAAATGGAAGGTTACTTCATTCCCGGCAAGGTGAGGAATTACCCGGCCGCGTAATATGCTCAACTGACTTATCGAAAACTACAGACTGTCGTGTCAATGCCGTCATACACTGCGCATCGAGACCCCGAGGTATTCCCTGAACCAGAAGCCTTCAAACCATCTCGCTGGCTCGAGACAAATGGTGGCACCGAAGAGATGAGGAAGCTGTTCATGCCCTTCACCAAAGGTACTCGGCAATGCCTGGGTCAGTCGATGGCCATTTTTGAGATGCGCATCATTATCGCCACGTTCATCAAGAACTACGTCCTAGGCATTAGCAGGAAGACGAGGCCGGAGGATATGGATTTTGTGGATTACTTTTTGATGATACCCAAGGGTGAGCACATTTGGTTCGACCTTGCTTCAGCTGAGAATGCATGACAGCACATTGAAATGAGACGATGTATGCATACACACACTTAATCCAAGCTTCTTTATCCGGTAACTAACCGTTTAGACTCACTACTCCCCTCTCTGGTAGTCGGTTCTATCTGTGTTGATGTCGCATCAGTTAATCGCTTTATGTGCGTAATTGTTCCCTAGAATAAGCTTTGCAACCTGGCTATCTCAGGCTCTTAAAGAATAATGCAGAGATTCGTAGAGCAAAAAACAGAGGGTATAAAGGTACATAGTAGCACTTAACTAAGGCCAAATTGCACGCCCAAATCGCAAGCCTAGTTTACACACCCGATCCATACACCTACTTCGCATGCCTATCTATATACTCAATACCTACGCTTGAATCCGTAAACCTATATACGTAACGTACAAGTGTTTTCGGCAATGTTTGCGCTAATACTGCAGCTTAGAGTGCAGCTTGGCATTTATCTGGGTGATCACGTTTATTTAGTGGGTATCGATTTGAACAATGCTAATTTCAACCGTCTCTCGGTCGACGTTGCCATATTCTCAGCAACTAGGAAATATTCAGCGTGACATGACATGTTTCGAGATTGTTACTCAACCCAGAACCATTTTATATCCACCAGGTGGCCCACCTATGCCTCGTTTCACCTCCACATGTGGATGGATGCCAAGACCACGGGCATCCATGGACAAGCATTCCACCAATTATAGCTTCTCCGAATGTTGTTTCACGCGCGCCTAGATTTTCAACGACGAACAAGTGATCTTATTAAAGTTAGCGAGGGGAAGCTTCGAAAAGCTTGGCTTTGTGTTTGTCTCCTTGCTGAGCTCCGCTTCAGAACAGCTTCTTGCTGTGGTTGTCCGTTGATCATCTCGTAATCGCCAACATCTACCTACATAGGTTGGAAAGAAGAAAGAAGAGTGGAAGCTGGATGCTGTTCCCATACCCTACGGAGGGTCGCACAGAAATAAGCAAAGTGGAATGATCACTTCCAATTTGGAAAAAGAGCTGTCGACGGCGGGTCAAACCGCCCCTTTTCATAACCAACACGGAGTGACTCCGGGCCCGGTCCAGGATGTCTCTGCCGCCGACACGTGCATATAAGGGGCATCGTGCTAAGGAATGGTCGGAAGGTTCCCCTCAATCTATTGCTTTTCTCACTGTACAACTCAAGTGACACACTCTTTTTTGCTCTCACTATAACCTGGCTGCTGTTTGTCTGCCTATAATTCCATTCGTTTACTGTACACGCAATCGCGTTTACTTAGACATACAAGATCCACGAGACTGCTTGAAGCATTCCAAAAACACCACAATGTACTCCAAAGTCGTCCTTTCTGCTCTTGCCCTGGCCATCCACGGCGCCGCAGCCCAATACGATGATTGGTCCTTCGGCAACATGTTCACGGTCGGCCCTGTCTCGGGCAATAGCAACTGGATCAAGAAGGCCACATGGTCCCTCACCCCCCACCTCCTCCCACCGACTCCACCGCGCCCAACGGCGATGATATGTTCGCCTCTATCTGGATTGGCGTTTCCCCGACAGTTTCCTCTGGCACACTCGTGCAGCCGCTCTTGAACTGGTCCGTGAACCAGAAGTCACAGGGCTGCGACGCGGCCGACGACGAGTAGTGTGTGAATGCTAGCACGTTCACTGGTGGTATGTATTCTGTTCAAGAGCCCGAAGGTGCAGATGCATATGGCTAATAATTTCCTCTAGAGGAGCAGGTCGCTCAGCCTTACGTGCCGGTGCCGAAGGCTTCTTTGCTCAGCTTTGAGAGTAAGTTCACATGCGTTCCACAAGCCACCTGATGCTTCTTCGGCCAGGACACCTAGCTGAGACTTCGATTATAGTCGATACCACTGAGGACAAGAAGGCCTCCCAGAAGATCTGGATTGACGGCAAACTCGTGTCGTCGCAGACGGACACCATGGACGGATACCCAGCCTACCTGTACTCCAGCAACGAGTGCTACAAGAACCAGTGTGGCTCTATCAACGCTTACTGTAAGCCGCCTCCGCCGTCCCTGTGAGACACAGGGTGCTTGTCCGTCATCCGATATCCAGGTCCTTGTTTAGATTGACCACTTGACTGACCTGTGCTTTCTGCCAGCCTGGGATAACGTAACCATCACCCTTAACGAGGCCGACGAAAGCTTCGGCAAGGCATTCCAGCCTACCGGCGCCAGCGGAAGCTTCTCAACCTCGGACAATGGCAAGACTTGGACCGGAACCGTCAAGATTGATGCCGACCACTTCCCCGCCAATTAAATTGGCCATGAAGAGCATCCGATCCTGTTCCAACTTGTTGAAAGATGGGAACTCTTGATATATGAGACTCAGGACTCGAAGAGATTTTGTTCGGGAATGGTCAGGATATACTCAATATATCCCACATGGCCTGGATCAGAGTATTGTTTATGCTTGTATCTATAGCACTTGTTTGAACCGAATATATGCCAACAGATCTCAAACATTGGCTATTAAAAAAGCAACTCCACCTTTAAACAACCTATGAATTACGATGCAATGGGAGACACAAATTTGATGGGCAGCCACGCTTTCTCAAAGACTCCAGCGCGAGGCATAGTCTAGTACTGGACGCCATTTTTTGACGACTGCCAGTGCTGCTAATTCCATCAGGCTACCCGGCATGCTTCAGGAACCACTCACGAGTCCCCTGTTTGAGCTTTTCCGCTTCTTTGTGGGACACATTGAGATGGAATGCAAGTACACTATCTTTCGCTAAATGACCGGGCTCAATTTAAAATTCGTCATGCACCCACTTCCCTGCCAAGAGTATAATCGGCTAGCTCGTGTGAGCTTCAAACGTGCCGACGACCCGCCGGCTATCGCTCCTACACCTTTTGGGCCGACAACCAGAACACATGCCGCGAGATTTTATAATAATACAAGTCAAGAACTAGTTGAACATTGAAGTGTCGCTGAATCTTCCAATCGAAGGGCGTTGTTCCGGCGATCGCGTTTGCCCAGCACGGTTTGCCTCGGTCGCGATCTGCACGAAAATGGCATCACCATACTCTCATATGTCATAAACGTGGGGGGGGTTGCAGATGGAAAGACGAATGGGGGTTGGCAAACATATTCAGAGGCGTTGATACACTGGCGTTGGAAATGTAAGACGAATTTGTGTGTGTTATCTAGGTTTATCCCAGGATGCCGGAACCCGAGTTCAGTCAATCGAACCCCAGATCACGCAATCCCACCTCCGACGTCCACCAACGAGACTAGAAACATGCTTCACCTATAGAAGAGGGCAACTCTCATTCTAAAAGCAGTGCTTTACCACTGGTGCCTCAGACACCTTGGTCGGCAGACTATGGGGTGGCTGGCAGCCACAAATGGGCTTGCAAAAGATTGCGCGATCGTCCCGCCGTAGATTGGAGCATCAGGAGCAAAGGGTTCTATATGAGGTCTATATAAACAGTAGAATCCGCCGTCATACCTGAAACTTGAGCTCTTACCCTTCCTGATTGCCGAATAGAAAGCCTGATCCTTTTCCTCATCCAAGTTGTGACCAGAATACACTGCTACTACGTCCATCGCGCTCATAAGAGTTTGCAATATGGCCCCATCCGCCACCGAGACAACCATCACGGTTGTTGAGAACGTCAAAAGCGCACTGAAACCTTCCACAAAGGAGGAAAATGGAAAGAAAAATGGACAGTCAGCGGAGACCGATGCGCGGCCCAAGCTGGAAGTCAATCATCGCCAGCCACTAAAACTCAGCGGTGCCCTGGACCAGTTCAAGGCATTCGATGTGACCCCTGTCATCGGGCGCGAGTTCATCGACGTTGACCTCGCCACATGGCTTCGAGCTCCGAACTTAGACGAGCTGATCAGAGACTTGGGCATCACCAGTAGGTCGCATTCTCTCCCAAGTTGGATATCATTGTAGATCTCTGCCCTTGTAGTGGAGCTGGGGTAGTTATAAGGCATCCGGGAACCTCAGAACTGACTTGGTTCCCTCTTTGTTTCAGTCTCACAGAGGGGTGTTGTCTTCTTCCGGAAGCAGGACAACATCACCGATGATCTCCAGAAGGAGCTCGTGCAGCGTCTAGGGGAGCTGACGGGGAAGCCCGAAACTTCCAAGCTGCATATTCACCCAGTGAACAACGCAGCAAGGGAGCATGGGGGCAAGGACGATGGGATCAGCGTCATCTCGTCTGAACAGGCAAAAAGCTCTACTCTGATCGCTACAAATCGATCAACAATAACAACCGCCAATCCGCAAAGCACCTGTTGCACTTGGATATTACCTTCGAAAAGGTTCCTAGCGACTATGCCTTGCTGAGACTGACTCAGTTGCCAAAAACAGGTGGAGGTATGATAATGTCTCCCCTGACTGAAGGCCCATAACCCCGGCAAGCAAGTATCGCCAGCTGACAGGATCCTTCAGATACCCTCTGGGCCTCGGGATACGAGCTCTATGACCGCATCTCACCAACACTCAGGAGCTTTCTCGACACACTCACGGCATACTATGACCAGCCAGACTTCAACGCAGCAGCCGAGAAGAACAGCTTCAAGCTGTTCGCCTGCGCGCGCGGCGCCCCCGAGAACATCGGCGACGTCCTGGAGGCCATCCACCCCGTCGTGCGCATGAACCCGTGACGGGCTGGAAGTCCGTGTTCGCCGTGGGTCACCACGTCAAGCATATCCATGGCCTGTCTGATGACGAGTCCAAGTACTTCTTGGACTGGTTCGTCCGCCTGATTGTTGAGAACCATGACCTGCAGGTTCGCCACCGATTGAACGACGTAAATGATCTCGTCATTTGGGACAATCGCAGCGTCTATCACTCTGCTACGCCAGACTACGTCGGTGAAGAGGGTCTGGGCGAGAGAAAGGGGTCTCGGGCTGTCAGTCTGGGGGAGAAGTCTTACTTTGACCCACAAAGCAAGAGCAGGCGGGAGGCCAAAAGGACCTAGTGATTCTCCCATTTCGAGGTTGGTACCTAGTTGGTGCTTCAAAAATATGTCTATAGCGATCGCCTGGGATATGCGATCGCCAATAATTTCGTTGAGAACGGGACCCGGCAAACTTAGTGGAACTTCATGTCACGTAATATTTGAATACCTATCGTTGTTACAAATGAGACGTTCTGTTACATTTAATGAAGCATCTCATCGTTAACGCACGTAAACCGCCTGCATAATGGGTAATGTCCAAAGCCACCTCACTCTTGAGCAGCTCAATGCACCCATCGACGCGTAGAAAATGGGGTTTGGAGCCATACTCATTCCAGAACCCCAGCCGATTTATAGACCAGAGCCATGAACATGCGTTCATTATTGTTGTCTATCTCTACCATTACTACCGTTGGTTTTCATTCCTGACCGAACGAATCGCTTGGCCTTGAGCCATGTCAGAAGCACTACTCATCCTTTTCCCGGCCTTGGCCTGGCTCGCTTCCTTTCTCATCCGAATATTCAGGGTTTACCCAACGGTGGTCTGTCCACTCGATCAGATCGGCCGATTCTTTTGCGGAGATGCGACTCTCGGGCTCATATCGAAGCAGCTCTTGCATAGGATGAGGTAAGCATTTCAAGCACTCGAAGTCGTAGTCCGTATGCTCGTCCTGTTCGTACTTCCAGCTCGTTTCTTCGTCTTCGTCGGTATACGTTGACACAAGACTCTGGTGACGAGTTTCAAACGTATCCACAAACTTCTCCGAAGGTGTGATGGCTTCTATTTGTTTCGGCTGTTAGTATCACCGGAAGCAAAGAAGAGGTTGATCAATCACTCATCGGTACCGAAGTGACCACGATGGCGAACGGGAAAAGTTCACCATCGTCGTCTGCAACACGGTTCTGCTTTCGAATTTCCTCGAAAGTAGACCGCCATCCTTCAGGTAGCGGTCCTACCTTCTTGATCACTTGTTCGAGAAAAAAGTTTTTATCATTATAACGAGCCCCAAAGATAGGCTCTTGGTAAACCAGGTTGTAGATCTAGAGATGTATTTGCGTGAGTACATAATCAGAAACAAAGTCAAATAAGGTTCTGATTCATACCACACAACCAGCTCTCCACAAGTCGAGTTTATAGCTCAACGAGCCAATGAAGAAGGTTTCGGGTGCTCTAAGGTCGATAGACTGCGGCATCACTTCTTGAGGGACGGTCTGTTCGACTGGGAAAGCCGCACCCCAGTCGATGAACCTAATGTCTTCTTCAGGTCCATCATCCCATAGTCCCCATCGAGACGTTGCTACTAACTCTTTGGGGACATGCGGTGAAGGGAGAAGTCCCTTGGCCTTGGCTACATAGGGGTCGCTAAGTACAGTGAGAAGGTCGTCATCTTCATCATCATCTAGAATTGAGTTGCAGGTGAAGGCGATGTTCGAAGCTGAGATATATATATTGAGGAGAAGCCAGTTAGCGGATGACTAGGAAAAAGGCCGACTGGTGACCAAAGTTGAACAGCTTCTAACCTCCGTGTGCTAGACCAGCCTGATGACTAAAGTCCACACCATCAAGAATCTGTCTCGAGGCTCGCAAGATCGTATCTGGCCGTAGTACCTGCTCAAGATCTCGTTAAACGCTTATTACGTTGCTGAGTGAGGGACCAAGAAGTTCTGTGACGAGGCAGTTGTGCGTTGCATTGGGACCATGATGGGCAAAGCAATCGAGCAGCCTAACGTAAGGCCTAGGTTGGTCTTGCGGTCCTTGCAGATAATGATTATCGAGTGATCTCAACTTGACCACTTCTGGGTCAGAATCTAGTCCCATATCTGAAGACGAAGCCCTCTTGATCTTGATGGAAACGAAGTTTCTTCTTGGCACGCTTGACTGGCTTCCGTGATTGTCCGACGCCAACCAGACGGTGGAATATCCACCGTAGCCTAATTTTCGAATTACGGTGTAGCGAGTATCTCGGAAGGTATCTCCCAAGGCCACTGGGTGGAAAAAACCGGGGACGTAGTGTTCCAATGGTTCGTGTTGGTGTATCTGACCGGTGTCGTCATCGTACAATGTCCAATGCGCTGGTTCTGCCGGTACTGAACTTGCGATTGGAGGATGAGAGCTAGATGAGGCCATTCTATGCTCGTTGCTTCTCCCGAGACGTATCTCTTCTTAATTGTTCTCGTGGTGGGTTGTCATCATAGCCTGACGGGGGGGACTTAAGCCCAAGTACTAAGTAGGTGGATGGCAGGCTATATGCACCGTGCGAGTACCGGCTGAAGTATGGAACAAAAGAATCAGAAGCTACTACTACTCAATTCTTAGAAAATCGACGGGGACCTCATCGAGGAATATTGAAGGAAAGCATTAGAGAGAAAGAGTCTTTCACGGCGAGGATACAAACTTGCTTTTCAGTTGTGCCTCATTGACGGAGAAATGGTGGGTTCCAAGCTGAATGTCTGCTTAGTAACTCATGGATGACCATTAATCGAGATCCACTGCTAACATACCCACATTGCAACAACTCCCCGTCAAAACGAGGCGAAGCCGTGGAAATGACTGTTGTTGGCTGAGCTACTGGGATGCATTGTGGCGACTTTGACACTGTAAGGCTTGTCGCCGGGGTCAATGCAACTCTATGTCAAGTTCCACACTCAGTGAGCACCACCTCCTATCCCGGGAGTTTTACTTTGACAGCAGCAATGGTCTTTCTGTACCCATCCTTAAAGCTTTACCGGTAACTAGGAAGCATCCTCAGCGGTCCAGTGCAGAAACAACCAGTCGCCGAGGCCAAACACCTGATTCGAGCAAGCCCTGAAATGGAACTATCATTTTTCGCGCTCGTAGAACCATGTCATGAAAAAAATCGTAAACCCGATATCAAACTGTAAAGATACGTCCGGACATCCACGATGAAGGTGTGTTTGGGGGGGGGGATCCTCTGAGAATAAATATTGGAAACAACGGCACAGGGCTTAGTGTGTAGCCCGAGATAGACGACGAACGTGATGCAGGGATTCTCGACGTCCCGCGCAGTCGAGAGCCTGCCCTGCCAGGCACTCGTGGTCATGGGGGTGCTACAAGGGTGTAGGAGATCATGAGTTCGTAAGGATGTAGGGCTGGTTATTGGGCTTATGGGTCGATCATTGCACGTGCCACGCCCTTCACTGATCTCATCTAGGTAGCGTGGCAGTGATACTAGTACACAGTCACCATTCCCAGGGATTCAAAATATGGGTTAGCGCACTTGGTCAGCCTACTAGTACTTTCTGCATTCCTTCGTCCCGCAAAAGAACTTGATTCTTTCTGCTTCTACCCTCGCGCTCACAGATTGTGCGTTCCCTCACCTTACAGGCCCTTGTATTGTCTCCTGCCAGGCAATTCAAGTGAGATATCGTTGCCTCTTGAGGTTACACTCTTACTTATCAAAGCAAACGGGCGACTTCTTTAACCGTGTTGGTACTCTCGCGTTTGCGTGGAGAGAGGAGATGGGTCAATTTTTGAGGTCTCCTCACCTACTGCAACTGGATGCTATGGAGCTGGGAGATATTACGCGAGCAGAAAGCCCCACCTGCAAGGTCCTCATTGAGTCTTTTCTTGCTGAGATCGATCAATTCGATAATTAAATCATCAGATTCAACGCAATACTACATATAGATTCACTAGAACTGATCATGAAGCGCACTGTGGGACCGGACAGTGAAAGGCAGGGAGGCCACCTGCAGTCAAAACAGTGAGCCACTTCATGGAGTCTCTGTCATCATTTAAGATTGTGTCTCAACGCAACTCGATCTTGGCATTTAGTCTTTGACCGGCAGCGGTGAGCTGACTGAATCTCGACCAACACATAAATTGAAGGTGATTGATAATGTTGGTCACCGGTCTGGTGCTCTAGTCGGGGGTATACCAAAGGCTGACCCGAGGCGCAGTTTTTCAACGGAGGGTTGATCATTGTTAGCCCAGCGAAGTCGACGGTACTTTTGAGCTTTTGAGACACTATATCATTCATCTTACAGTCCACGCAGCTAATCCTGATAGTAGCGTCAACATGAAATGTCCAAGGATTACGCCGAAGTCACAACGTGATGAGGACATCAAGCAAAGGATAGCACTGGCTAACAATTGAGGGGGGTTGACTGAATACATGCTGGTACTCTAGATTAGGAATCATGATGAAGATCCCGTGCACTTAAAGAAATCCTTTTCAGTAAGCCAAAAAGATTCTTGTGATCTTCAGATGAATTCTGGGATAACGTGAGCTTACTCGAAAGCAAATGGGAAGGCACGAGGCGGCCGCATGCGAATTCCCTTTCGGGCATTGCGGATTCAGTCAGGCGTTCTTGGCAAACATTCGGTCTAGAAAAAAGCAGCAGGATTGCCAAGCAGAGTGGAAGAGTTGGTGTTATGAGGCGCAGTATATCATCACATCTATTGATTGAGAAGTAAGCAGATACTGTGAGATATATGAACCACCTGATCCGATGACGGTATGGGTTTGCGTAGGCGCGAATTCTGGGTGATCCGCACAACTATATAAACCGTCAATGACAGCCCGGTTGAGGAGACCTGATTCTACGTATTGTCCAGATTCTTAAGACAAAGACACCGATCTCTTTGAAGAATTTTCAATAACATTCTTTTTTGACCAAAATCACTCATCATGGAATCTGCAGAGCACTCATCCCAGCCAAACCTCATCAACCCAGTCACTCGCTACGAGGACTTCAAGTTTGAGTTTCCCCCGAACACCTACCCCAAACAGGTCCTTCAGACAAGCTTCAAGTACCCGCCGGACTGCGGAGAGAAGAGTTATGTTGGGAGTGGTCGTCTCAAGGGTCGCCGTGCTCTTGTCACTGGAGGTGACTCAGGCATCGGAAGAGCCGTTGTCATTGCTCTAGCTCGAGAGGGAGCTAAAGTGGCGATCAACTACCTTCCCGAGGAGGAGCCAGATGCCAAGGATCTCGCACAATTCCTGGACAAAGATCACCACGTCAAGAACGACCTGATCAGAATCCCGGGAGATCTCAGGAGCAAGTCCTTTTGCTACGAGCTCGTCCACAAAGCAAGCGAAAAGCTGGGCGGGCTTGACCTCGTCGTGAATAACGCTGGGTGAGCGAATTTTGTCGCCCAGGTCTCCCGCAACATCAATACTAGTACTGACTGTGCGACAGATTCGCCGCCAAATTTGAGGATTTTGACAAGCAGGACCCCGAAGTGTGGGACCACATCTTCAAGGTCAATGTTTACGCAGGTCTGCACATCACCCAAGCAGCTGCACCGATTCTTCCTCCAGGGTCTTCCATCATATTCACCGTGTCGTCCGTGGGCATTTCTCCCCAGCCTGGAGTGATTGCCTACTCAGCTACCAAGGGCGCGCTCCGCAACTTTGTCAACGGCGCCGCATCAGAGCTCATCAAGAAAGGCATCAGAGTCAACGGCGTCGCCCCGGGTTTCACGTACACCCCAGCGCTGGTGATGGCCGGGTTAAAGGAGGATGAGGTTGATCAGCTAACCTCTACGATAGAGCCAATAGGACGTCTTCAGCAGCCGGCTGAACTGGCTCCTGTGTACGTGACTCTGGCAGATGTTCAGGCATCTTACGTCTGTGGCAGCATTTATGGAACTCACGGGGGTATCTTGGCTGCCTATTAGAGCTTTGGAACGTGGAAGAGAATCTTAAATAATAGCGTTGGATGCTTAGTCTATTAGGCTAGCTAACGTCTATTCTACGGGAGGGAAGGCCCTTATTTATAGTTATTATCTTTCATACAGTAGCAAACATATGGGGAAAAGGATATCCCGTATTAATAATAGCCTAGATATCTAGAATATTCCAACAGAGAATCGATGGACTGTAGGAATGGCTGCAAATAGCTCGTGTTGTCGCTCTTTTAAATGTTCAGTTAGCAAGTTTGAATTATTGAGGATACGAGCAAGGGCGGTCTGGACTATGCGTTGGCAAATATAGCAAAACTGAATAAATGCTTTCCGCCTAAATTGGTCAGTGATACACATTATGGAAGATTCGACTTGCTTGCTAGCTGGAGTGCCCTGGAAACACGCCCCGTCCAAAAGCGTTGCTGTGGCGCCCTCAGAGTGGCGAACCATTTACGTTTCACAAAACAAAAAGAGGAACCTGACGCAATCCAGCCAACAGGCGGTTTCTCCAGTGGTCCTGGCAGCGTGAATTCTATTCTCAATAGTGCGGACATCATTCATACGGAGACAGATCCCAACATTGCAATATCATATCAGAGGTCAAGTTCACTTTCAATTAACTTGCGGTGAAGTCGTACCTTGGATAAGAGGGTGTAGTGAGTATCTATGTATTAAATTTCCGTTCAGTGCGGTAGTGCATGATTCATAACTCCGTTTCTGTATCGCCTTCAGGTGGAATGAAATTGAAAGCCGCCATCAGTATAACCTACAAACGAGAATATCTCTTCAACCTTCAGGAAGGGAGATGACACTGCAAGTCTCACGGGTAGGTTTGTCTCATCCAGTGAATGCTAACAGCGACAAGATCCAACTTATCACTTGGAAAAGCGACAGCCATGAACCCACAGCAGCAGCAATATCCTGTTCAGCTTGTGATCAGTGTTGGAAATCGGAAGGAGCTTTGAGAAACATACCGACCAAACCATCTCACGCTGTACAGAAACAACTTCTCTCTCAAAGGTCGGAAATTGGATCAACAGAGTCACGTGGCATGGGCCGTAGTAAGGCTCCGAAGGATTATCAAGGTCGCACGTCAACCTTTTTGACGGCACAGAGGAGATGCTGGTGAGTTGGTACTCGTAGGCAGGTTGTTTGCCGGCCATCTCCATTCGTCGAAGGTCCAGGCTAATGGACACCATGGATGAGGCGTCGATGAGTTGGAGGCGGGTATAACCATACTCGAGACTTTCCTCCAAGGAGAGCATCGGATCCCAAATGGCTAACCAGAGACTGGGTGAGAAGGACTGGAACGAGTCCCCAAAAGCCCTAGTCGTATTGTCTATACAGCGTGCATTATTGTTAGTATGTGTGAATGTATAATAGATTCTCCGTTCGGCATTGTGGGTGTTCTCTTGCAAACAAGAGTGGGGCTACTTACATTTAAAAAATGCCTGTGCCAGCACCGGCGTTGTCGGGATCACGTTTACCATACTTTCCGTCGTGATCCAGGCGAGTTTATTGTAACTTGTATTCCTCCACTGAAGTCGCGTGATTGCATCGTCCCAGTTGGCACCGCAGTTGCAGCTGTCGCCAAACTCGACCGCGTCACAGGTCGCGACGCCCTGCCTCATCCAACCAACAAAACACTTTGGTGGGCTATCCAGCGTGAGCTCTGCCTGTGATGTCCAGTTCACGTCCTGCAACACTGCAAATGAAGGGTAATACGTAGACGGCTAATCTGTGCGTTAGACAGGACCAGCCTTGGCAATAAGGGCGTGGTAAATATATGTTGATACTTACAACCTGGTCTCTTGTTGTAACAAGCACTTGCCTAAGTAAGGATGGTCTCCATGTTGTCCAGAATAAAAGTGGAAGAATGGCTCCAGTCAGGGTCGCTGTCCACACCGTGTTGAGCAAATTTGGAGTCAGCGATCGGCTCTGGGCTGTCCTCTTCCAGCCTATTGTCCCATGGCTGTACATCCCGACAATTTCTTGTCTGTACATCCCGGCAATTTCTCGCATTCCCAGCAAGATCGCCATAATCATCACCAAATCCAGAGCCCCAAAGAAAATCCAAAAGAACACTGCGTCTGAGGTTCTGGGCCAGCCCAGTATCAGAACCAGGCATGATGCCAGAAGGCAGCCAATTAAGACTTGCACAATGAACTTGTTCAAACACGAGACCAGTGCGTTCAACGACATGACCCTGGAACTCGTCTCAGTGGGAATTCGAAACAAAGTTCAATAATGGAGTATGACTGGTGTTAGCATGGAAAAGGTGTTCGGGCAACTAACACTTGCGCAATCATCCCTTTCCACCATAATGCCAATGCGTTCAACCGGAAGGCGCCGGAAGCCATCTTGTTGGAAATCCAAGTAAGGATCAGCACCTGACTATCAAGGATGCTAGCTTGGAAAGGCGTTTGGGATGAACGGGATGGGCTCAACTATGATGAGGTGAGGACGAACATCGTTCAAAGTCAATGGAACAATGCTCAGGCCCCTTCTCAGCTGAAAACTTCTCCTCGTTTTCCAGCTTGAATTAATTGCGTGGCCCACCGGTTGCCGCTGTGTTCCTTCGTATCCCTCCAGGGTGGGTGGTAGAACTACATCGGTCAGCCTATAATTGTCACGTTCAAGCGCTGTGAGGGGACACGAAACTGTGATTGGCGAATATACTCACGGGTAATAAATCAAAGCAGCCGGGCATGCACGGGTGAAGATCCATGTGAGTTATCATCGCCCACTCGAGGTCATGAGCAGCAGCCTGTCAGCCATGAAGTACCCAACGCAGTGTGGCTCGGCATTTTTTGAAGAGATAGAACAACATTCCCGTTCTTTTGTGCACTGCCTCGAATCATCGTGCAGAATTTAAAACGGAACCGGACGTTAGAGACCGGTGAAGCAGACTGGGTGTTTGCAGCGCCCCCAATTCCGTCAAATTTCGGGGGCGGGCTGTGATCGTGCTTGCAACCCAATCATCGGGGTCTGCTCGCCAATTTCAGCCCTAGGCAGCGTCAACCGAATCAGGCTTTGCTGCGGCGGGATGTGCTGAGTATATCATGGGACAGACCTCTTCTCCAAGGCAACGAGGCAGACCAGCTCGAGCACGACGATCATCAAGCTTTTGCCACCAACCTTGAGCATCGCTAACTACCCAATCACGAGATGGCTTACCACAAGACTTACCACCTTTTTTTGATTCTCATCACGTTGTCATCAGCACAACGACTGTTCATCGACACCATCCCGGCGTATTCAGAACTTCCGGTTTGTGCGAAAGACCAGCTGCGAACGGTTGTCAAAAACATGGTTAATGGTTGTGGAGATGGGAAAAAGACTACCTCCTACAGCTGCTTCTGCACCGACAGCTCGTCGCACTTCTCCCAAGTCATCAGCACCAAGGTGGCTTCGGCGTGCCTGCCCGAGACCACGACTGCTGTGGGGGCTGCCGCCGATGTCTTCTCGAGCTATTGTGCATTGGGGTCCAACGGCACTTCTAGTAAGCAACAAAAAGCTTGACCTCGTATTTCACTCCGGTAGATCTCTTGTGAAACGTATCGGGGCTATACCTCACGCTGATCGCAAACAATCAGTGGCAGTTAACTCGACAACGGCGCCGGCCACAACCACCCAAACCGCGACGTCCCACATCAGCATCACATCACCTGGGACGATGAGTCCAAGCCGCGCAAGCTTGCCACCCTTACCGACGGAGACAGCCAGCAGCGGAAGTGAGAGGAAGCAACAATCTGGGATTTACGGTGTTGTTCTGGCTTTGCATCTCGTAGCCCTGCTACTTCAGAAACTTTGATTTGCTGAATCCATCAAAGGGAGGGCTCTGATGAATTTCATTTCCGCGAAGACCACAGGAAGCATCTGACATGGAACCGATCAACGTCTGAGGATGCCGCTTGTGGTATGTTTTGTCGAACTTCGGGCATGTAGTTGAGTTTAAAGATCCAATATAAGTATTTAGTTATCCAGTGTATCCGACGGGTGAGATTGCAAGCACTTCGGGGCTTAGGCAGCTTATTCTCGGGGAACTTGTAGGATTCGGCCCCTGCAGTAGATTGCATCCCGAGCTGGAAGGAGAACATGGCTGAATTTGATGCTGTGTAGCGGTTGCATTCCAACCCCTTGCAATCTTATACTTTCTTCTTTTCATTCCAGTCCTGCGGAGATACTTGAGCAATTGGCTCCTATCGGGCACGATTGTGCCTTGTGTCGTCATTACCAGTAAGCCTTGACATTGCATGACGCGTGCAAATCACCTACGTGTGACACAGGTTGAAGGGTAGGCTCCGCTGGCTGCTGTGTATAGTATTTGATCAAATATATAAGGGTAGAAGTGGCCTCAGATAACTGCCGATGAATCAAACCCACATCACTGATCAATCAAGCCCACAACTTCCAACGCAATATTCGTGAACTACAAGATGAAGACTGCCTTCGCCCTCGCCCTCTTGGCCGCCATCGCGCGGCCAGCAACTTCTCTCACTCTTCGACGCGAGAATTCCACGACCAGCGCGAATTCTATGTCGTGGATGGGAACTAATCTGTACTATCTGCAAGGCCTCTCTGACTCGGACCAGGATGCCTACATCGGTCAGATGGCCGCGGATGGAGCAAAAGTGGTGCGGGTCTGGGTCAATGCCCAAAACGAAGGAGCCTGCCAGAAGGGAAGCCGGATCGCCGTCACCGTGCCTCCTCTTGAGTCCACCATCGGAAAATACAATGATAAGACTCTGGACGCACTCGACAAGGTGATAGTGAAGCTGAGCAAAAACGGAATCAAGGCTTTGATCTCCCCGCACGATGCCAACTCTCTTTTGGGTGACTACCGAAAGTCCGTACTACCCATCCCCCCCCCCCCGGCCGGGACCCAGGGGGTGCTATCAAGACTAACTCGGATTCTGCAGGGATGTTTACTATGATACCTGGGGTTCCGGATACTTCTACGAAAAACAGGAAGCATTCGACGCTTACGATGCTCGCTTGACCCATATACTCAATTACAAGGGCGCGACATCGGGCAAAGTATGGAAAGAGTGGAGCGAGGCCATCATGGGCTTCAACCTGCAGGTACATATTTTCCGTCTTGTCCACTACCTAGTGTCGAAGCGTCCCCCATGGCTCAAACTAACTTACACCACCTGCGCAGAACGAGCCCATGTCGCCCAAGCTGTCCGAATGCACCGGCGGCGACACGCACGGCTGGATCTGCGGCCGGGCGACGCACATGCGCAAGGAGCTCGGCCAGAACAACCCCATCATCGTCACCTCGGGCGGCATCGGCGGCGACTTCAGCCACGGCTGCACCTTCATCGAGGCCGCGACGAAGTGCGCGGCGCTCGACGCCATCGCGGTCCACCGGTACGCATCGGTCCCCGGCAACTGGGCGTCCAGCGCCAAGGACTGGGTCAAGCAGGCCGGCGGCAAGCTGGTCTACCTGGAGGAGTGGGGCATCAACGCGGCCAAGTACGACCGGAGCAAGACCTTCCCCAGTGAGGCGGCCGACATGGACTCGGTCGGCTTTCCGAGCTTGTACTGGCAGATCATCCTGCCTGATGTCAAGGGGTGCGAGTACGACCCGGCCAAGGATTCCGGTGATCATTTCGGGATCGTGTATGACTCTGGAGTTGATATCTCCGGCCCTATGCACAAGGCTGCTCAGACCCCTGCCCTTCAGGACTGGGCAGGCATCGTTTAAGCAATTAGAGAGATACTGGAGTGGAGGGCCAGCTCATTGGCTTGCCCCCCTCATTTTTTTTTTCTTTGTTTAGGAGGATGTACAGCCATAGTGGGATCCAAGCTGAGAGAACAAGATAGCAGCATAGAGTCTAGAGTCTGAAAGATGGTGAATAACAAAGTCTTTACATTGACCTTTTAGTCTGTTCTAACTCAAGATCGTACTAAACATTTTGAGGCCAGATTGCTAGTGGAGGGAACTTATGGAGCTTTACGTGGAAAGGAACGTCATATAATACGGTGTAAGTAAGCAAGCATAAGAATGCATATTGAAGCTGAACTAAGCGAATATGTTCTAGTATACTGTTTTTCTTTGCTTATCACTGTCATTCCAACATGTGATAATGAAGAGGAATACTAGTAATGTCTTCAACCTTCGTCTCAAAAGTCTATCCATTAATACCCTAATAGTACCGTTTACTATTTAAACAAGGCGAGAATCCATTTTCCCTGTGAAGATATAAGGCTTGATGACTTTCCGCCTCTTTATGGAGCTATTGTTGTGGACGAGCCTGGATACTTTAGGATCACTCTCTTGGTCCGTGACAAGCCTGGGTCGAGTGTGATCTAACAATTCGATATTCCGACATCAGTCATTTTACTCAAACCACGAAGCAAAGGCACTACAGTCGCTGTTTCAAAAGAGACCAGAGAGCCCATTTTGGGTAACGATAAGTTGAAATCTGAAGGCAAGCTTTCAGGAGTTACTGGACAACTACGAGGTATGCAAGTTGATTAGTGTGAAGCCTGCATCAGGGATGATGATTAGGGCAGCTAGAACTGAACTTGTAAGCGGTTTGCATATATGTTGCCCGCTGCAGCCCAACTGCTAGCAACACCTAGCCCCGCAGCGCCCACAACAGCTCTCTGTTCAAGGAATCAGTGTATGCATTTGGATTAGCTACACAAGCTATAGTGCTCTCGGTTCCGTGTACTGATGTTGCATAACACTCGGTCAGGAGGATATGCGTGGTTGGTCCACCAAGACTAAGATAAGATATATCTGTGGAGCGACAGAAGTCCACTCGGCAACGCATTTGGGAATCCAATTTTGCTGTCCAACATGACTCTGTTGGTGATTTGCACTTATTGTAGCCCATCTCGTTACAAAGTATGAGACCGCAAGCGAAAAGCCAAGTGCAGATGAGCTGTAAGCTGCATCCCGACATCACTTCAAGCTCTTGAATAGCAACCCCTACCTCTACCTACGATATGGGGTTGTTGTGCTCATTACGAGGGCCGTGGGATCAGCGTCAAGCAGGTGCTTGTGTACTCTGTGATCAGGAACTATGTGAGTGCACTCATCCAGGTTGGCAGTTCGATCTTGTGCCATTGAACTCAACGCTTTTCTTCCTTGCTGCCGTCGCTGCCGTCGCCGTCCTCGCCATCATCACCTGCGCCTCCTGTCTCTCCCTTATCCTTCTCTAACTTTATCGAACGATCCTCTGATTCACCATCAAGTGTTTCAAACTCATCATCGTTGTATCGATTGAACGTGTGGTCGGGCCATGGGTGGATCGCTTCCTTATGCACGATGCATTTAATGCATAGCCAATAATTATCCCAACAACTTGGGTGCTTGCAATCAAAGCACTTTCCATACATATCCTGGTTTCAGTCGTCAGTAATTTGTGCCATGACCTCTCTGCATGTTTTGCCTTGAATGAATACGCCATTCTCGACTTACACAATAGCATCCGTCGCAAGACCCTTCAAGGGAGAGCCCCTTGCGATGATTCTTGTCTTCGGTAGCGTCATTCTGCGAAAGCTCACCGAGCACCTTTTCCACGGCAGGAGGTGCATTGAAATATCTTGCAATGCGCACAGGGCTCCATTCACCGTCGTCACCCACCCGGACCTTGTCATTGATTCCTGGGCGGCCTTTATCGACCAGCAGACGAATTATGGCCACTTTGGCTTCCTCGCTCGGGGCCATGCTGGAGTCTGCATCATCCGATCCGGCAGACCGGATATAAGGCGGTTTCAGCGTCCAGTGGATCGCGCTCCATCCGTCGGCGTCTTTGGCAGTTATCAAGGACGGTTCCTTTTCAATGAGCCACTCCACCAGGCTTAGGTCGCCACCGAGTGCCGCGTAGTGCAGTATTGTCCTCCCCATCTTATCCCTGACCTCTGTTGCTAGGTCTGCGCCCCACGACAGCAACATCTGCACCAACCCCTGGCGGCTGTCGGGGCTGAGGCAAGCTGCAAATACGGGCACGCAGCCCACAATGTCGGGGGTTGTGACTACAGCACCCAGCTCGACAAGGCAGCTGACGGTGGAAATGCTTGCTCGAAAACATGCAAGCGTGAGGATGGTCTCACCGAAACTGCCTTCGGCGTTCACATCCGCTCCTTTCTCAACCAGCAAACGGATTTTCGCTTGCGGGTCCAAGTTGGAGTCGCAGCATCTCTGAAGTGGTGTACCCAGATGAAGCACGTGGAGGTTGACGTCGGCATGTGCGTCAAGAAGCACCTGCTCAAAATCGATGCTCTTGAATTCGCATGCAGAATGTAGCGGTGATCCTCTTCTGTTCGGTGAGGCTCCTTGTACGTCGGCATTCCTGCGGATCAGAAGCCGTACTGTGTCAAGGCTGCCATTGTGAATTAAGTATGCATTGGTGAGCGGAGTATCTCGTAATTCGTCCCTTGTATCGATTGCATTTGGGTCCGCCCCTGGGTTTAGGAGTCTCGTCACGAAGCCGATGGGCAGACCAGAACTTATTGCCGAGTTCAGCCCTTGGTCCAGTCCCCAAGGGTTTGGGTTGTACTCGAGCAATGCTACCAAGATTTCCTCGTCTTCGGTCCGCGCCAGCATATGCAGGTGATGGTCAGAGTCCTTCTCGGTATGGTTGACATCGGCGCCCTGCTCCAGGAGAAGCCGCGCGGCGCCGTGATGCCCGAACCCAGCAGCGGCATTGAGCGCAGTCCAGCCCTTTTCGAACTGAGAATCAGTCTCTCTCTCGAACTCCAACTCAACGTCTTGTTGGAGCAACTTCCTAACGGACTCCGCAATGCCGTTGGCCGCTACCAGGTACAGAGCAGTGACGTGACCGCCACCCAAGATTGCTCGCCTTTTGAAGTCTGGTTGAGGCGAATTATTGATAAGCATCTCTATTATGGCAGGGCTTCGGTGCGCCGCTTCTAACGCAGACCAGTCCCTTCTCGGATCTTGTGTCATCGAGAGCCTGGTGTCTGCACCATTGTTCAACAAGAATTTTGCCACGTCGGAATGCTGATTAAAGCAAGCATATATCAGCGGCGTCGCACCACGAAAGTCGGTACTGTTTATGTCAGCACCCTTTGAGAGCAGGTACTCGACGCCTTGGATGTATCCGTCCGAGGCAGCAAGGTGCAAGGGCGCGAACCCATCCAGGTCAGCATTGAGTGGCGCACCATACTCGAGAAGAAGCTGAACAATCTCGAGTCTTTCCTGGCCAAGAGCTCGTCTGAGAGCTGTCCTTGTCGTTTCGCTGTCGAGTATGTCCGGACAGGCTGGCAAGAGCTGCGTGCTTGTGCCCAACCGCGCCTTATTCAACCCTTCAAGCAGCGCTCGCCGCAGGAACTCTTCGCCTCCGGATTCAGTGGGGTTCATGAACTCAAGTATCACCCCTGTGCACTTTTCAAAGCCCCTGCTGACAGCAGTGACAAGAGCTTCGGATTGGTTGTCAGTCCAGGTATCCCATGTGAGACTATCAATTTTCTCAAGGATCTTCCGGACAGCGTTGTGATTCCCATATTCGCAAGCTGTCCCGAGTGATTTCCAGAGCTCAAGATCATTGCCTTCCCGGTGGCGGAACACGAATGAGATGATGTCGGGGCTACAATTCTTGCACGATTCGTCCAGCACTTGGTTGAAAAGCTTGTCGAGTTCGGGCTTTTTGAGTGTCTGACCCTCAACCAAGCTTTCTGCAATGCTGACAGAGCCCGGAAGCGCACATTTCTTGAACGTCAAGCCAATTTCCATCTTCGAGAGCCAATTCGGCTGATTGAATAATCTGTCGAGAATGGTCTGCAGGCCCAGGTCCATGGCTTTTTGGAGAAATGATTAAGGAACCGTGATGTCCATGCTATAAGGGATTTGAGAGAACAAAGCCTCCATGATCTCAGCATTCGCAACCAGCGATGCTTCATCCAGGACTTGCTCGATTTTCCGCGCGTCTTTCAACTGCGCGACCGGAACTTGCTCGATGAAAATCATAAATGACCCGCTGATCGCACCCAGGAAAGCTGCAAACAACAAGTCGGAATCCGCGGTCCACTCTGGGTCTTTCGTGAAGTGTTTGATGCTGTCGATCTCGATTCCACATCTCGTTAGGAGCGCCACTTTTCGGAGAAGCGCGGATTCTAGGTTCTCTCCTCGTCCTACCGAATAGCCTCTCATAGCTAGCAGATATTGGACTGCCCTATCATTCTCTAGGAATCTCCCGAGGTGGCCGTGTGCCGTCTGCCTCGTCAGCTCGGACTGGCGAGCAATTCGGTAGTGATCGGGCCAGTATTGCGTAGCATACAGTGAGAATAGCGAGGAGGTTGACAGAAGAACGGGCGAGTCTCCACAGCCTGCCTCTAGTTCCAGGAGACGAAGGAGTCGATGAAGAAGGTGCAAGTTCTCATTCTCAGCATACTGCCCTCCTCCAACCGAGAGAGTCTGTTGAACCAAAGCGTTGGCAAATGCGAGATGATTTGCGTCAAGTGTGATGATCCTCTACATAACCCATCACATTTTAATTATTAAGAAATTTCGTTATATAACTTTTATAATAAGTATTGTTAAAGCTACTTTTTTAAGTAATATAATTTATAAAAGCTTTATAAATTATTAATAAGTATTAAGAGTAAATATTATTTAATGTAAGGTTAAATCTATATATTATGTGGATAGCTTCTTTAAAGCTTACAAGAGCCATTCTTTTAAATTTTATATTTATAAAAAAGGGCTTTTTAATTATATTTTTATATAATAAATAATAATTTAAAGCATTTATTATTAATATTAATATTTAAAATTATTTTTTATATATAATATTTTTTTTAATTTTAAATTATTTACTTAATAAATAAAAAGATAAAGAAATAATTTAATAAAATATTAAAATTAAGATTTTAATTTATATAAAATATATATAAAATATAAAAAAAATAAGAAAAATATATAATATAATAAAAAATAAAATATATATTAAAATATATAATATTATAAATAATAAAATATATAAGAAAATATTAATATAAATATAAATATCTTTTTTTATTAATATTTATATTTTTTATATTTTTTTACTTTATTATTTTATTTCTTTTCTTTAATTTCTTTTTTAATTTTTATATTTATTTTTAATAATTAAAGAATATTAATTTTAACTAATAATAAATATTTTTACTTATATATATTTATATATTTAACTTTAATTTTTATTTTAATAAAATAAGTTAAATATAATTATAATTATTATTAATATAATTTATTATTTAATTAAAGAAATTACTTAAATAAATACTTTTAATTAATTTATTAACTTTTATTAACTTTAATATTTATTTAATATAAAATATTTAATAATTATTAATATTAATTAATATTAATTAATATTAATAACTTTTAAATGCTTATTTTAAATTAATTATATTAATTAAAAGTTATTAATAATATTATATTATAACTTAAAATAATTAAGTTATAATAAGAAAATTAATTTTTAATAATAATTATATCCTTATTTCTTTATATTATTTATTTATTAACATTTTTTAAAAAGATTTAATTTAATAAAAATTAAAATTTATTATATTTATTTATTTTAAAGAAAATAAAATTATTTTAAATTTTTAAATAATTAAATAATTTAAAATAAATTAAAAAAAGATTATAAATATATAAAAAGCTATATAAATCTTTTTAATTTTTTAAAATATATTATTAAATAAAGAAATTAATTAATTTTATTATAAAAAAATACATATTAATAATTATAAATTTAAGTTAATTAAAAAATAAATCCTTATTTAATAAATTATTAATTTATAAATATATAATTAAGCATAAAAAGATTATTTAATTAAATTTATAATTATTAAAAAGCTTTTTATAAAACTTTAAAAAGTAATAAAAATTAATTTAAATTATATTATAATATAATAATTAAATTTAAAGTTTTAAAAAATAATTTAAATAGTTTTAATAAATTTAATTTTATAAGACGTTTTTTAATTATATTAATAATAATTTCATATATTAATAAATATAAAATAATTAAATTAATATATATTAAAAATAAAAAGTAAATAATAATTATTAAATATAATAATATTAAGAATTAATAAATTTTAATATTTATAATTATTTAAAAAGCTATTATCTTATAATTTAAGTTATAAAATTATTTTATTTAAAAAATTAAATAATTAAGCTTATTTTAAATAAATAATTAATGAATAAAATTAATTTAAAATAAATTTAATATTTTAATAAATATAAAAAATAATAAATAATAAATTAATATTAAAAACTTATTTTTAATAAATTTAAAAATTATAAATTAATAAATTATAAAAATTATTATAAAATAAATATTATTATTATTATTATTAATATATTATTAAATTTATTATATTTTAGTTAATTATTAAATATTATATTATATTAATTTTTAATATATATATATAATAATAAAATTAAATATTTTATTTAAGCTTTAATTAATTATATTATTAAATTTAAATTCTTTTTTATATTTAAAAAAGCTTATAATAAAATTTATATAATAAAGAATATTAAATTTATATTTAAAGAAATTAAAACTTTTCTTTAAATTTAAATTTTATTATTTTTAAACTTAATATTTATTTATAAACTTTATTACCTTTTATTTTTATTTCCCTTTAAAATTAAAAATTAAAATTATTTAAGATTTAATAAATTATATAATAATTTAATTTTATTAAAAATAAAGATTTTAAATATAAAAAAAGGTTTTTTAATTTAATTATTTAAATTATTAATTAATTATTAAAATATTTATAAATAATAATATATAAAATTATAATTTTAAAACTTAAATTTATATATTTAAATATATTAATATAATATTTATTAAATATTAAAAGATTAAAAAAAGTTAATTATAATTTAAAAAAAAATTTAATATTATAAAACTTTAAATAATAATTAAAAGAAAATAAAAATAAAACAATTAATTAATAAAGTAAAAAATAAATAAAAGAATTACTTTATAATAAATTAATTAAATAATAATATAATAATTATAATAAAATTAAGTAAAATATATAATTATATAAAAAAAATAAAGAAATTTAATTAATTAAATTTTAAATAAATTATAGTTTTCTTAATCTTATTAATATTAATTAATATTAAATATATATTTTTTATTAAAAGTTATTTATTTTAAATTAATATTATATTTATATTAATTATTTTAAATTAAAATAATTAAATATAAATAAATAATTTAAAGTAATAAAAATTAATAAATATAAATTCTTTTTAATTTTTATACCTTAAATAAATATTAATTAAAATTAAAATTAATAAATATATTAAAAATATTTATTTAAATAATAAATTATATTATAATAATAATTTAAATAAGCCTTAAATAATGCTTATAAATTAAGCTTTTTATTTTAAAATATAAATTTAAAAAATAAAATAAAAGTTATATAATATTAATTATTAATTTTAAAATAAATAAATAAAATAAATAAATATTTTAAAGATTTTTAAAATTAATAAATACTTTTTAAGAAAATTAAAGCTATTTATTATAATTTTAAAAAGATTTTTAATTATATTATAAGCTTTATTAATATTTTAATAAATATTATTAAAATATTTAATATAAATTTAAATTAATTAATATAAATTTATATGAAATATATTTAATAAATAATAAATTAAAAGTAAATAAAAATAAAAAACTTATTTAAAATTTTAAGCTTATTTTTTAAATAATTAAATTAATTAAAAATTTAATTAATTAATTAATTATTTTATTAAAATATAGTTATTATTTAAATAAAAATAAAACTTTTATATTTTATATTAAATATAAATTATTTTTAATATAATTAATATAATTTATTATTAAGTAATAAATATTATTACATAATAAATCTTTTTAACTTTATTTAACTCTTATTAATTATAATATTATATTAAAGTAAATAAATTAATAAAAAATTAGCATTAATTAATATTAATTATATTTAATTCCTTATTTTTAATTATTTTTATTAATTTAAAAGTATTAATATAAGTATAATATTAATTTAAATAAATTAACTTTTATAAAAAAAATATATATTTAATATTAATTAATAATAATTATATTATTAAAAATATAATTTATTATAAATTAATAAAATAATTATATTTATATTAATTAATATTAATTAAATTAAATTTATTATAATATAATTAAAATTTAATTAATTAAATTCTTTTTTATCTTTTTATAAATTTTTATATTATATTTATTAATCTTATTATAATTATTATATTATTATTTAATTAATTTATTATAAATTACCTTTTTAATATTATTACTTATTTTATTAATTAATTATTTTCCCTTTTATTTCTTTTAAATAAAAGCTTAAAATTCCTTAATAATAAGTACTTTTTTAAGCTATATTTAAATACTTTTAACCCTTTAATATTTAATAAATATTATATTAATATCTTAAAATATATAAATTTACTTATTTATTATAATAAATAAATATATTATTACTTATATATCTTTTATTAATTAATTAATAATCTTTATAATTAATATAAAAAAGCTTTTTTAATAAATAAAAATCTTATTTTTAATAAAACTTAATTATTTAATAATTTATTAAGTATTTAATAATATTTAAGATTCTTATTTTTAAGAAATAATAAAAAGGAATTATATTAAAGTTTATAAGTATATATTAAGCTTAAAAATTATAAAATTAAGGTTTAAAAAAGAACTTTTAACTTTTTTAAATATAAATTTAATATTTTTTATTATAAAAGTTATATTATAAATTACTTTAAATATAAAAAAAAAACTTAAATTTAATAATATAATTAATAAAAACTTAAATAAAAAGATTAATTTTATTATTATATATATACTTTAAAAGTAAATATAATATAATATTTAATAATTAAAGTAAATAAAATAAATATAATAATATATTAATAATAATAATTTTATTATTCTTATAATATTAATTAAATTTAATTAATATATAACTTTTATAATTATTTATAATTAATATTTAATAATTAATATTTCTTTTTAATTTAATATATTTATTAAAATATTAAATTTATTTTAAATTAATTTTATTATTTATTTATTTATTAAAAATAAGCTTAATAACTTAATT